AATTAACATTTATCAGATAAAATGGAGATAGATTTCTAAAAATATTGATATATATGTGCCAAAATAACTGTAAAATACAAATAAATGTCAAAAATTACAAAGATGATTTGGTCTCAATGGGCTGTGGTCTTGGTCTCGACCCTCAGAGGTCTTGGTCTTGTCCTGGTCTCAGGACCCTGAGGTCTCAAAAAGGTCTTGGCCTCAATTAATGCAGTCGTGACTAGAACTCTAGCACAGGCATATAAAAACGTTTTATTCATATGAATACCAACATAACATGACCACAGTGACTAAATGGTTTGAGAGAGTGGGGCAGAATCTTAAATCTATAAAACAAGTTTAAATCATTTCACACTACACTCCACAGTGTAAATATGGAGGGAAAAAAAGAAGCATACATGAAAAAGTGTGTCCAAATTTGTATGTATACGAGATGAAAACGATTATCATTGGTCTTCTCATTAAATTGTTCTCTCTTGTATCCACTCAGAGATCTAAGAGTGCCTCAACGTGTCTCAGGTTGTCAGACCCATATGGGCTGGTGACAACTAGAACTAATGTGATTATAGATAAATATGACAGAACATCTATAGTCCTGGTTGCTGTCATCTGGGACCAATGCTGGGACCAATGAGCAAGTTAATCTGAAACTGTGATACATATTGCCTTTTGCAGTGTAACATTTTGTAATGCAGTATTGCCCCACATATGTAATGGAGTTACACTACTTTGCATTACATCTGATTTACTTTCTGTATGTTTAAAGTAAATTTTGGCTCCATGAGCTTCACAAATATATAGCCTTATAAGTCCTTCCCTTGGACCCTCGCCCACAGGTTAAGAAACCGACTTTCACTTGCACATTTCAAATATTTTAGTGCCAGTACACCATAGAACTGGAAATGCACGAGCCTATAGTCTGCGCAGATAGCGTTGGGTATCGAAACTCTGTTTCGGTAAGTACTGGTAAGTACTAAAAAACTGGTAATAAAAAAAACAAAACAAAAAAAAGTTCGCTCGGTGCCCACTTTCGGTCCCTTTCATTAAATGCCCGCGTCAATAAGCCAACACACACTTTAATTTCACTTCAATGTATCAGTAGTGCAGGTGTTCACGCGTCAGTACTGCGCTCTGCGCAAATGTACTGCACAAACAGCGCTCATGTTTAACATGTTGAGCATGTCCTACATGTGTCCAAACTAAGTGCAGTGTGTCTTTTACCGGTAAAACAGAAGAGCTGAAAAAACAAGGTGCAGCGTGAAACTTGTATCCACCCGAAAACACCCAGTCTCCAGTGCGGGGCGTTTATAGTGTCTCAAAGCCAAAGTGCGTAATAATAAATCCACATCCAGTCACTGCCTGCAGTGTCCGCGTCAAATTTAAGCCAAACATAATATGAACCAAAACTCCGCAAAAACCCTGCTCCTCATTGGTAAATATATAAGATGTAAGTAAGTAAAGATGTATCCAAATGAATCTGCGTAAATTTCTCCATAATTCTCCTCCGTCCTCCTCCGCGTAGTAACAGCGTAAAGTTATTCATCAAAATAAGAGCGCATGCTCCATGCGCTGCCTTTTATATAAAGTGCAGAAAACAAGAAACAAAAGAGAAACTTAAGCGTAGGTCAGTCTTCGTGACAATCAGCTGTGCGTTTATTTGCGTGCGCATTTGGAGTTATACCTGAACCGTGTATAGTAGCCTACTCTGTTTTAAAATATGAATTAACATATATATAAAGTTATTCAATGACTGAAAAGTATTTTCTTAATAATATTGGCCATTAATTTGCATAAAAACATAAATTGTAACTATACCCTTTGCGCACTTATGAAGAAAACTACTACATATCTCGGCCCTCTACTGTGGAGTTAGTTTGGACTGCTTAAATTTAGGTCCTTGTTCGCGCTTCTCGTCGCTGCGTAATGGGTTAAGAACAGTGTTGGGAGTAACACGTTATAAAAGTAACGAATTACAGTAATGTATTGCTTTTTTGCTGTAACGCAGTGATGTAAGGCATTACAGGGGAAAAAATATTAATATTTTACTCGGTACAAATGTGAGTAACGCGCGTTACAATGGTTTTTTTAACCTGGATTGAAGTGGTGGGTTTTTCTTCATACAAATTCGCTAAAATCACCTCGATATCAGCAGCGGGGAAACGCCAGAGACGCGGCCGTGTAGACCCTTGGTAACCGCGGGGAAAGGACCGACGCAGAAGTATACGCTGCTTAGACCTGGTTTAGACCTGGGTCAGTTCTGGTTTAGACCTGGTTTACAGTCCTCCGAAGTGCTGTATGTTTGCAAGTTTTCTCCCCGACAAAATCCACAATGTCGATGAAATGTTTTGCACCGACAAAGGCTCCTGCACTCGCACCCAAAAGGCAGAGGAAGATGCAACCATCACACAAAAAGTTGGACTTCTGAACACGCTGAAGGAAGGTAGAAGATACTCGCTGTAGCAGAGTCTTACACGGGTCGGGTACCCGCAAATAGTTGCTGAAATCAGGACCGTGAGCCCGCGGAGCACGGTGACCATAAAGCGCGATCGGGCGACAGCCGCTCTTACCTCCGTGAGGTGCGGAGCAGAGCCGCTCCTTTCTCCTGCGGTCACCTTCGAGCCCGTCCGGATATTGAGTCCTGTTTTAGTCCTAGTTCAGTCCTGGTTTAGTCCTCCTCTTCAGTCCTGGAATCAGTCCGAGGTTAGTCCTGTTATAGTCCTGGTTCAGTCCTGGTTCTGCTCTGGTTTAGTCCTGGTTTAGACCTGGTTTAGACCTGGTTTAGACCTGGTTCAGTCCATGTACGGCGCAAAAGTTCAGCATCTTCGCAGTTATTTTGGAGGGAGTAACTTAAAGTAATGCAATAGTAATGTAATGCCTTACATTTTAAATGCAGTAATATTGTAATGTAATGAATTACTTTGAAATGACAGTAATAAGTAATAAATAACGCATTACAGTTTTAAAGTAACTTGCCCAACAGTGGTTAAGAAAACACGGGATTTACACGCGTGGCACTGGAGCGACGCACTGGAGGCGCACAGGCAGGACTGTTCTCTATGAATGGATCTCAGTACGATGTGGGAGTGTGCACGTACAGGGCTCCATGAGGACTGAAGTAGAGAAGCGGGTTTAATGTCACGCCGCGTGGTCCTCCGGTGACACACGCCCCGCTCACAGAGCGCACGGATCGCATGGAGACGCCCCGGTACCGCCCCAGTGAATGTTATTCCCAAAAGCACGGGCTATAATAATAACCACTGTTGGGCAAGTTACTTTAAAACTGTAATGCGTTATTTATTACTTATTACTGTCATTTCAAAGTAATTCATTACATTACAATATTACTGCATTTAAAATGTAAGGCATTACATTACTATTGCATTACTTTAAGTTACTCTCACCAAAATAACTGCGAAGATGCTGAACTTTTGCGCCGTACATGGACTGAACCAGGTCTAAAGCAGGTCTAAACCAAGACTAAACCAGAGCAGAACCAAGACTGAACCAGGACTATAACAGGACTAACCTCGGACTGATTCCAGGACTGAAGAGGAGGACTAAACCAGAACTGAACTAGGACTAAAACAGGACTAAACCAGAACAAAACCAGAACAAAACCAAGACTAAACCAGAACTGAACTAGGACTAAAACAGGACTCAATATCCGGACGGGCTCGAAGGTGACCGCAGGAGAAAGGAGCGGCTCTGCTCCGCACCTCACGGAGGTAAGAGCGGCTGTCGCCCGATCGCGCTTTATGGTCACCGTGCTCCGCGGGCTCACGGTCCTGATTTCAGCAACTATTTGCGGGTACCCGACCCGTGTAAGACTCTGCTACAGCGAGTATCTTCTACCTTCCTGTAAATCGTTACTTTTATAACGCGTTACTCCCAACACTGATAATAACCTATGCATTTGAACTAATTACTGAGATTAGTGAGTAGGCTTGATAAATATATGGCAAATTTTTGGAGTTTGGTTTAACCCTGAGTTCGCTTTTCATTCCGACGTCATGAAGTTTCCTAGATATGTGAGATGTGACGGTAGAATGAGAGACAGAAAAAAGGGGTGGAGTGGCGCGGTTCGCACTAAGGGACATTTTTGATTGACTGGGCGAAGATTGTGGTGCAGGAGGCAGCGTAATACTACGTCTGTTTTATTTAAGATGCCTACAGTCAGGGGGAAAGACAAAACATTGACTGTGACGCGCACAGCAGCGCGCATGAAGTGAGCACTTGTCACCGCGGCCGTATTTCGTGGCAGTTCAAAAGGTTGGACTTATCTGTTCCTTTCACGGAAATGAAAAAAATGCGTTATGAACAGACAACCCGTCGCTTTGTTTATCAACCAAATAAATAGTTATTATTATTGGGGGACTAGATTTGTTTCGCTTTATTTTCACTTGCCCGCTCGGGCAACTAGGCAGAGGAGAGTACTTGCCCGGACAAAAGTTTTAGTTGCCCCGGGCCAGCGGACAACCGTTAATGTCGAGCCCAGGAAGTGCAAAATAACTGTTCAAAACACAATCAAACAACATCTTCCTCGGCTCATCATCCCCGTCTCTCCCTGTGCTCTACTCACATGTCTCCTACAGAAAGAGTCTCTGTCCTGTTTGTATCATGTCAGTGTCTTGGAGGATTTCAGCAGATTTCAGATTCTCCCGGGGGTGGGGCTAGTTGTGTTGATCAGGTATGAGTGGATGTGTGGCTACTGACCTGTTTCTTCTTGTCTTTTGCACCCCAACCTGAATTGGACGTAAGACGTATCCCCCTCACTAATGTTCATTTGGCATCATAACGTATATTATCGTACTGTTTTAGTGCACTGATAACATCACTAACAAATGCTGCACCTTCATGTTAACCCATGTTCCATGTGTAATCGCACAGACAGTGGTGTTTTCTGCACTCAGGCTGTGTGTATCCACTGTGTTTCCAAACCACACACCGTTTATATGAACAGACAATCTGCCAAACAAAGAATCATTCCATATATTAGCCACAATGTTTTATTAGCTGCAGGGTTCAAAGTGTGAGAAAAAAAGTAGCAGGTTATAGACCGGAATTTACAGTAACAGTTTACAGGTCAGATCTGTGGAGAGGTGACTCCATTATATGAATGCATGCTTTCTTGGGAGGGCATGAAACATTTTTAACTGAATACATGCAAAATGGAGAATGTTATACTTGTGAACATGCTAGGCAAAGCAAAGACATCTCCATGGTGGTGGAACCGTCAATAGAAATGTTACATAGTGCATCTTTAAAGGAAACAGAATAAATTTCAATTGTCAGTGATTTTCCTGAATTATTCAACAGCATCAATCTGTATTGTAAACTGTATTTAACAGGGATGTATACATTTTGTACATATACCATGATCTTTCTTAAACACATGTGGGGAGGAGCATCACTCCATCGGTACAGATCACTCTCATCTCCTGTGTGCCGATAGGGTGAGCTCCTTTGATGCAGTCAAATGTGATGTGATCATTATGGGGGGCATACAGCTTTTGTTTCCGTCCATATCTGAATTTAATTTTATTTGGTAGCATCAGGTCTGGGTTCACTGTGCAGGGTTCTGTTGGGGAGAACACAAACAGCCATCATCTTTTTGCCATCATAAAGTGATTGTTCAACTCATGCTTTATCAGACATTTTAATCAATCATTTTTGTCATCCTAATAATCATAAAAGATTTTCAGTTAATTTTTTTTTTCTCTTTAAATTATAAAAATAAAAAATGTGGTTTAAATGAATGTTGTTCTGATACCATTTTTTTTTGAGATCCGATCCAGTATTGATACTTGGCTCTGGTGTACTCGCTGAAACCGATACCAGTCCCATAGTGTATGGCTACTCAGTTTTACTCAATCTTGTTACAATACAACAGCAAAAAATAAATCTTCTAAAAGGCTATTTTTAATGAAAATCTACAAGAATAAGTTAACTTGTGAGGAATAAAGTATTAGTGGTTTAACCATCGAACTATAATCAAAACTGGAAGATAAATCCAAGATGGCGTCGTATTGTTTTCAGTGGCCTGTGCTCATTAGTGCATCACGCCAAGAAATATGTTTACTTCTGCATCACTTCCTGAATACTGGTCTTGCGCTGCAAAACGTGTGATATCAGAAACGTGCAGTTCTAAAGAAATCAGGGTGAGAACTGCTAGAGCTAGCGCAGGCTCAGAGCGGGGCTAGGCTAACTCTTACAAAACTCACTTTAAGGTGCTTTGACGATTATTATTATTCCAGGTACTGCAGCTCTCAGGAGCTTGGGCCCAGAAACAACAGGACATCCACAATTTTCACAAAGGTCGGATTTTGTAGGGATTCTTTTCTATTTTCACAACATAAACTTTTTAAAATGTTTATGAGAAAGTAAATGCAGAAGTCATATTTTTGGTGACCCATGCACCATTGACAATTAGAGACAGAAAAAGATCACAGCTCTTATAAATGACAATGTAGATGTTGGAGTGTGAATATGTGAGTCTTACTGAGACATTTGATGTCCCCGGTCCAAACTCCATTTAAACAGGTTTTGCGTGGCCCTCCTTCCATTACGTACTTGTCTTGACATTGGTATTGAACCCGTGAATTATGGCTAAATGTTTGACCAGAGGCAAAGAAGTCTCCATTATCCAAAGAAGGTGGAGGTCCACAACTGTAAGGATCTGAAAGAGAAACAGACCTGCTTAAAGGAGCAACTGGAAAAAGTCCAGATCTCAAATAATCAATCAACAAACAAAAAAAGCCAATCAGAAGTGAGGGTGTCCTGCCTACACTTAGCAGGCTGTCAATCAAACCTGTTGCTAACGTTAACAAGAGCATCATCGGGACAAAGAAAGTGCCTTATTGGTCGGTTATTAATATTAATATATTAATTTATAGACAAAATAGTGAAATAAACACATCAGGATCACGTAGAGAGGGTTAATATGAACATTTTAAGGCCAAAATGATGAGACTCACAGCGGCAGGTACAGAGAGGGGGCCAACGTTTTTTAATAGAAAGTGAAATGGAGCCAGAGCCAAATCACACCCATGCTCATTTCCTATTTGGAACATGGAGACTAGCAGGCCAGCTATGTCCATTTATACAAACAGAGAAACTATCTGAGAAAACAGCATCAGATGAGCCGCCTGCACCAGGAGCACAGAGCCTCCTGCACCAGGACACCAGCACATTTACCAAGGGCAGAGATGAGGCCAAGTCACAACCCTCCACCAGCAACCCACAGAACAACGCACAAGTGTCCCTCAAATGTGTATTCATCAGATCACAGAAGCTAAGCGTTGATTGGCTGGAAGAGGAGACCTCTGAAAATACCAGGCGCCACAGTGGAGTGGATGTAGAGCACATTGTTGCTGGGTCCCCAAACAACACTTAAGTTAACTTAAATTAAATCCAGTTTCCATGTATGCTCATTTAGAGGAAATGTGGGACAATGACTGAAAGTTTGTCTGGTTACAATTTGGCGTGTTTACAGCCTATAAATAACATGTATGTAACATGTGTCTGCAGTGATTCATCAGCCACTTTCACTTCGTGGAAACCGTCTGACCTCGCAGCATTAGGATTCATTTGCTCGACAGTAGGTGGATACTTTTTTATTTAACCAATCATTGCTATTTGGTCATGACATATGTAATGCACCGCTAACGGGGCTAAATGGTAAATTAAGCTTTTCCTAAATCTCATAGGAAGAAGGACAATAACATCTTTCCCCTTAATGAAATTCATCAAACATTCTCTTTGTTCCAGCTTTAAATCCTTGACCTGTTGAATCTTTACCAACACAGAATGTATGGCTCTTCGCTGGTGCCAGGACTCGCACTTCCGGGGTTCTTGCAAACCATCTAGTGTATTCCGATTCCTGACCTAGTCACAAATGAAACTGAGCGGAGGCACTAGGTGGTGTCAGCCTGGCTAGCAGTCTGGTGTGGTAAAGAAGAAGTTGAGCAGAGCTCTCGATTCACCACTCAACCTACATTCTTACCCTCACCCTGTAGAAAACAGATGGATAATGTATACATAGTGTTTAATGTAACAGTCTCACCAGTACAAGAAGGAAAAGGGTGGGTCCACTCTCCGCCCTCTGAACATGTGACCCGAGCCTGTCCTCGGAGCATGTGTCCTCTTGTTTTGCAGTAAAAAGTCAAACTCCCTCTTATTGGGAGCTGTCTCTGTATGGGATTATAATAAACACTGTCTGGTACACCCACCACATCACAGTGGTCTGCAACACAAACAGTAAACAACTGTTTTAACTACAATATTACATGAGCTCAAATAATACAAATATACAAAAAAGGTGTGAAAAAAAGCAATCTAATCAATACCATGAGACAAAACCTGAGACTAAACCTGAACTAGACTAGGACTAATCCAGGACCAAAACATGTCGACACCAGGACTAAACTGGAGTCAAACCAGAACTAAACCAGGACAAGTGTGAAAGGTGTGAATCGTATGACTGACCGCGGCAGGTGGGGAAAGTGGAGCTCCACCGTCCGGTCTGGAGACACTGCAGCTGTTTGGAGTAGCCTCCACTCACACACTGCACTGTAACTGAGCCCCCAGCAGTCACCACACCCTGCACTCCAATCACGCGCCACTTAGGGTTAGGCTCAGGAAGGGGACACGTCACCCCTGAAAACAAAAGATCATAATAATAGAAATAATTGTACATTTATGTTTCTTTTTCAGAAAGAACATTGATCCTCCACCTTTTGGACGCTTTAGAAGAAAAACAAGAGTCCCTGACACCTATCCCTCTCTTAAAGGTGCATTGTGTAACTAATCCGGTGGAAGGTCCGTCAAAATCTTTTCTCTATGGACATATTATTGCTTTGTCTGGAATGTTTAAACATTTCTATCTTCATGGAGATCAAACCAGACCAAGTTACAGGACAGATTTGTGGAGAGGTCAAGATTCCTGTTTTTCTAGGTATTTTTGAGCCATAAAATAAATGAATTAATGTGAGGTAGAGCTGTTTAATGTCATACTGTGGGACATTCCACGCACAGCAGTGACATATCCATAAAAACAAGCAAGTGACAAACCCCAACCAAAAAGTTACATAGTGCATGTTTAAGTATTCTTAAGTGTTCATGAGTCCAACATCAGAGGGGAAGAAGCTGTTCTAGTCCAGTTCTGTCCAAACAGACCGTAGCCTCCTGCCTGAGGGAGTGGTTCAAATACTCCGTGTGCAGGGTGAGAAGGGTCCTCTGTGAATCAACCTGCTCATACACCTCCTGAAGAGATGGTCACCTTCTCAGCAGCAGACCCACAATGCTCTGCACCACTCACATGGCTGTGAGCCTGGCATACCACATCGTGATGGAGGATTAGATTAGCTTTGAATATTCAAACATTGCACCATAAAAGTTGTGAATTCTGAGTAAGTAAGTAAGTCTTTATTTATATAGCGCTTTTCACTGACATTTTTTGTCACAAAGATGCTTTACAGAGCATTATTCAGCATTATTCATTCATGCTATACCTGGTGATGGCAAGCTACTGTTGTAGCCACAGCTGCCCTGGGGCACACTGACAGAAGCATTCATGTCAAAGTAATGAAGATTTTAAGATGCTAAACTGATTAAACTGAGCGTTCATTCAACAGTCTTCTATGGGGTTGTGTCCTTTTTTCTTTTATTGCAGTAGATTTGGTAAAACATCTTTAGGGGCATTTTATACACTTACTTCAAACATGTCCATGGTACCCGAGCCCCGGGGTCTAAACATGGACACCTTTAAGTCAATGACACATTGAGCCATCCAGATTAGCCTAGCCTGGCTAGGTACTTCCGGTGGCTCTCTGCCACAGAGGGACAGAGGGAGGAGGACGCTCCACGCAGCACCACGTGATCACGACAAAGACTTTATTAAAGACTTTATTAAACCTTGTTTAATAAATAAATACAAAACTAAAAGTGACAACAATGACTCATCTGTTCATTTAATCATATTTCATAATATTTAGGCAGCACATCTTTGCAGTAAAGCCCACGTGTTTTTTCGCTGTTTCAAGAATTTTATCACTATATTTTTAAGTCTGTCTATGAAGTGTGTGAGGACTGGCCCTGTATATTTATGCATATACACGTAGATATGTGCACACGCTGATCTGAATGGTCAAATTATGAGCGCGTGCGAGAGATTCAGATGCCCTCCCCTGGAGAGGGAAAGGAGCGAGGGAGGGACACGAGGACACAGATTTGGCATGAAACACATCAGATACAGATGTTATTCTGCCAATGAAAGTCCACACGAAACATCCAAACTGCTCACCTGTGAGTGTGGGTCTGGGTCTGACCTCTGTGAGTGTGGGTCTGGGTCTGACCTCTGTGAGTGTGGGTCTGGGTCGGGACGGGCAGGGGCATTATTCTGTTCTTCATACAGTGTGCAAAGTTCCCCATTACACAAAAATGTAGGGAAGATTTTGGTTGGGGTCAGGTTCAGACAGTAGTCTTCGTGTCGTGCACAGACTCGGGTCACTCTGCCGCTCGGTGCGTAAAGACTAAAGTAAAAGTGTTAAAGTTGCGTTCATTAAATCAAAGCCTGGCTCCTGCTGCGTCCAAGGGAAGAGTTTTCTCTCAGGTCGGGTCATTATTTCGTCCTCTGTGTTGGTCACAGACTGTGTTCTATAGAAGTCTATGGTCACGGTGTGGACTGTGGACACTGTGTCCAGGAACGTAGCCGCGCTCGTGCACGAGTGTCAAATGTATAATATTGTGGAGAATAATGAGTGGAATACTTAATAACACTTAAATGCGCAAATCTGAAGGTAATTCTTCTGTATACGTGGATTTTCTGATCAAACTCTTTCTCAAACTCTGTTCACTTCTGCTTCTCTCCACGAGTGTCGCTTTTTCCCCGTGTCTCCAGACTTTGCGTAGAGCTTACAGGAGATCCTGAGTTGGCGTAGATTTAAGCAAAGAGCCACACCTTAGTCGAATTTTATAAATGCCGCGGTTGGCGTAGGAAGCGTGCACGCACGGATTTTTGCATAAGCAAGCTTTATAAATGAGGCCCCAGGGCACTGTCCAGCTCCAGAGCCACATACAGCCCTTTGCATGACTCTGATCGGCCCATTTAGAATTACAAAATAAAAATATTTGATCATCGATTAGTGGCTGTTCCATTGGTGCTGCAGCTCCGGGAGCTCCGGCCTAGAAAGAATTGTCTCATTTGACACACATGCATGATTTGGGGAACTGAAACTGCCCGTGGCTGATAGGGCATCAACAACTTTCACAAATGTCAGATTTTGTAATTTTAAAGAGGGAAATTTTTTATTTTTACAATATGAACTTTAAAAATGTTTTAAATTGTCATTTGAAGAATTTTAAGCTGAGGAAGATTTTATGATCTAAAAGTAAGTAAAAATCGCCACAAAATGCAATCTTTTTAAAAACTAAGTGGCCTGTCAGCCGAACTCGAACAGTTTGTGATTACATTGCGCTCTACAGGAAAAATCCTTTCTGGACAGTTATTTTAATAGATCCATGATGGTAACATGTCGTTTATTGACGTTCCCTCTCGAGCTCTACACTTCCTGGTCCATCAGTTAATTGAAATGACCATCTCACGTTAAAAGAGACAGCAGTCATTTAAAGCTGACAAGGAACTTTTCCTCATTCTGATCTGAGGAGTGAGAGGAAAGACACAACTCTCCCCTTCTCCTCTCGCCCTCCAGTCTGGAGCCTGGTTAATGCCTCAGACTCTTCCAGGTGCTTGGTAGTTCATGTGGAGCTTAAGTTCCACTCTACGTAAAAGTAAAGTTGGAGCAGAACTCTTCACATGTACCTGAACAAGAAACAAAAAATCCACACCAATGTGTTTTCAGTTTGACAGGGAGCGAGAGACGGGGGAATGAGGAGAGAGACACAGATGTGATGAGTGCATAGAAAGAACTCACTGAAAACCAGTTCATCCTCAGAGTTCAAACCATTGTGCGTGTGTGTAAAAGCTGCATTTCCCCTCAAAACAGCCACATGCAGGTAATTTTAATGTAATAATGGCTTTAGGCTTTTACATACTGTAGTATGTGCCTTTTTAATACATGCAGCGTCCACAGACACGTGTGCATAGGAGCATACGGCTGGTAAAAGTCTCAAGTGGCACTTGACTATAAAAGTCACTTTTTAAACTGGATCAGACAGAGACAAGTGCGCTGACACAGGTGTGTGAATGCATGTGCTGAAACTTTTGACTGTTTCTTGGAGACATTGATAAAATCATCTTGACAGTTAGCCTGGTCCCAACAAGGTTTCTGCCCAGGTGCTTGTTACTGCACCAACTCTGGTTAATCACTTTGGTGGAACTGAGGATTAGACAAGCCTGGATAGCCCACATAAGCCAGGCTTTCACTTTAGCTTACTTCATGGAATACGCCCAAAAACAAAGCTGCAAATTAACTGTGAACTTTCTTGTTGGACCCAGAAGTGACGTCATCACTTAAGAAGTCTACAGAGAAAATGGACTTACGTATGTGCATCGGACTCACTGATATTTACCCACACAGTTGGGGAAAGGTTTGTCCCACTGTCCGTCCCTGCCACAGACCAAAGTAGCAGAGCCGTTCAGAGTGGAGCCCAGAGAACTACAGCTGAAGGTGATGAAGCGGTCTGGCAGGATGGGCCCCTCTTCAATGGGTAAATCTTCGACAGTGACCCCTGGTATGTGAGGTGGGACGTCACAACTCAGTGCTGAAAAAAGTAAATGGTTAGAGAAGGGTCTGGTCTTGTTTTGGAAAACCTGTAGAATATCTAGTGTGAGTGAGCTTGTGTCCTGCTAATAATGTTGACACCCATAGTGGTAATATTGATACTTTACAGTGACATAAAGCTGGAGGTGTTCTTCATGTATCTAGGGGTCACAACAAATGCTGCAACAAATACAAACACGACAACACAACAAAAAGCCACAACAAACCAAAAAAAGCCACAACGGAAATGACCGCAGGACTCTATTTTAATGCAAATGCCGCAACAAATACAAACACCACAAGATAAGATAAGATAAGATAATCCTTTATTGTCTCCCATGGGTGAAATTTGTCTTGGGACAGGGGGTAACATGCTTTATCAAAAAACAGGACAACACAACACAAAGCAGCACATAAACACCATAGAACAAAATAAATATGAGACTAAGTCTGACCACGAGTGATGCACCAACAGGACCTTTAAATTATTCTTAACATACGAGCCCTTTGCATTCTTGTATTCTATTAGTAATTGCACATTCCCTAAGCCTATGTGCAGTTTTGATTGCACATTCCCTAAGCCTTTTATAATTATTTTTTAACTGCACTATCTGAGTTTAGCAGATTAACAACTAGTGGCACAAAAGAATGTTTGAATCTGTTCAGTTTACAGTTTACTCAAACTGACTGTGAAGAACATGGGTTGGGTCATTGATTACCTTCCTGCCGAGCTTCCTAACAGTCTCCTCAAAAATTTGCTGAAGTGAGCTCTGGGCCACACCCATTATTTTACCCGCTCTTTTAGTCAAGGTAAAAATCGGTGATTTAAGTTTGACTGACAGGTTACCAAACCACGCTGACATGCCATAACGTAAAATAGATCCCATGCATGCTTTGTAAAACATTAGCATTACATTGGTGTCCACACCATGTAACCTAGGCCGTCTTAAAAAACACAACACAAATGCAAATGCTGCAACACATTAAAAAGCCACAACACATCAAAAAACCACAGCGGAAGTGACCGTGGGACTCTATTTTCCGACGGACCGATCAAGCGGCAAGTGAAGAAGAAGAACTACAACATGAAAAGTAAAAGAACGCAGAAGTTGGAAATGTAAGTAAAAGTAATTTATTGTTTTATCATTATTCGTTTCACTTTGTAGTTCTTCTTCTTCACTTGCTGCTTGATCGATCCATTGGAAAATAGAGTCCCGCGATCACTTCCGTTATAGCTTTTTAATGTGTTGTGGCTTTTTAATGTGTTGCGGCGTTTGCGTTTGTGTTGTGGCGTTTGTATTTGTTGCGGCGTTTGCATTAAAATAGAGTCCCGCAGTCATTTCCGTTGTGGCTTTTTTTGGTTTGTTGTAGCTTTTTGTTGTGTTGTCACATTTGTATTTGTTGCTCCGTTTGCGTTTGTTGTGACTCCTCTCGGCTTCCGTATGTATCCCTACGGTAGAATGTTCATCAGTTAGACACAATACACACATTAGCAAACAGTCTGAAAACTCATGAGGTGTATGATTTTCAACAGAACGATTAGAGTGACTAACTGAAAAACTGTCAGCTAATTTTACGTGTGGGAGAATTTTTTAAGATCACACATCATCTCACATGTTGAAGTTCCACCTACACCAGCACTTTCTGGTGTCAAATTAAAGATCAGATTAAAGTCTAACAGATAGAGCAGTGCTTACAAATAAGTTTGTTGTTATATGTATCTCTGTATGTTTTGGGCTCATGACTCTTGTAAGTTTACATTAGCTTTGTGCTGTAAGATGAAAACTCACCTCTCATTTCTTGTACTTACGTTCACATACGGGTAAATGGTTCGACCACCCATTGAGTAAGCAGGTCCGGGTGTCTTCTTTGCTGATCATTTGATACCTGCAATAATGAGTAAAAACAATAATTAGAATGGAGATTGCTTTGCTAATACTTTTGTTAGTAAACATGTCATATTTTTCTAACTTCTTCTGAATGCTTTGAGGGGAGTGAAACATTTGACAAAGATGGTACGATAATAAAGTGCTAAAATGATCGATCCAAGCAACAATGGTTCCATGTCATTGGTCCGACAGCCCATTAATTCGACCATCACTATACACAGTAGAGATGCGTGGATAACTTATAATGTGCTGAGGATGAACTGTAAATTTAGAGTGTGGGTGGAATTCTCATTTGTTTAGAGGGGCGGGAGTTACAAACACCAGAACGAGAAAAGAGCCTCACCGAGTGGGAAGCCACCAGCACGAAGAAAGAGCCACACTGGGGCAGGGAGCCACCAGAATGAGGAAAGAGCCACACCGGGGCAGGTAGTGCTGAATGTCCATCTCCACTGTGTATGGTGATGGTCGAACTAATGGCCTGTAGGACCAATGATCCTCTTTTTTTTCTGATGAATATAATGTCGGGCTAATGGGATCTCTACTCGACGGTCGATTTTCGAACTAATGGGCTGTCGGACCAGTGGGCAGACCCCATGGACATTGAGACCTTGTTGTTTATCAATGATATGACCAATGACAAGGCAAAGAATCCAAACACACATGGTAACGAACCCAAGCAATGCTGGCATACATACATAGGCTGATAGTGACAACATCTATTTTCTCTTCTTTCTTGTAATGTTAAACCTTTTCTTATTAAAATAAATGTTAAATAATAGTTTTGCTTAAACATTGAATCCAAAGAAAGCATAATATAAAATAATAACTCTCTGTCTGTACCTGGCGGGCAGCTCTAAGACATATTTGATATGATCTTGCGGTCCAAATATAATTATATTGTGGGCCAAATTTGGCCCCGAGCCAGAGTCTGACATGTCTGAGCTAGAGGATAGGGCTCCAACATATTCCACAATCGAATCAAAATCAATTACCCAATTTGAATAGTCAAAATGAACAAATCTCTCTTCCACCTCATGATGTCATAAAGCAGTGGTTTTCAAGTGAACAGCTACTTTTTTTTGCCAATTCCAATGCCAGTAGTGAAGTGAGGTCTATTTGTGACGAGGAAAGAACATTATAACATAGATCAAACATCTGCGTAATATGCCCCCTTTAAATGACCCTGTCTACTAATGTAGAGAAAACCAACATGAAGTTCCTTGGTCTAACGTACCCTTCATTACAGGAATACTTTATAGTCGTCCCAAATACAAAATCCTCTCCAGTGATGATCTGATAGTATCCATTGAGAATGTCGTCCGGAAGTATGCACGGTTTTACTGAAAAGACCAAAGGTTTAAACACTGAGTAAATTTACATGGCCAGTAAAAATCAGAATAACTGTTGTATTTGAAAAACAAATGAACTGTAAGAACTGTTTTAGTTTTAAACATTTTCACTTTTTGTCCCAGTACTTTGCTGTATTTTTACATTTTTTTTATATTCACGTCATACACTTGTTTGTCCCTTAATAAAGCCTGAACAAAAATGAATGATGATCAAACACACGCACGCACACACACACACACACGCACGCACACGCACACGCACACACACACACACACACACACACACACACACACACACACACACACACACACACACACACACACACACACCCTCCTGGGTCTTCCCCAGGGCCTTCTCCCAGTGGAACATGAACACCTCCACAGGGAGACATCCAGGAGGCATCTGGAACTACTGTCCTCCTCTCAGCTACTCCTCTTCACATATTAATGATAATATAAATAATATAATAATTATATTCATATTATTAATTATATTTTTTCACATATTTTTCTCACAAAGCCTGAATCTCAATAAACTAAAAGTCTTTAGTTCATGCTTTATAAAGGCCTGAATAAGTGCAGTTATTATTAAGTGTCACAGATATTTGAATAATCTGGTAAATCGAGAAATCTGATAATGATGAGATTTCTGCCGTGCATGTAAACATAACCACATAACAGTGATTGAACTCACGTCTGCAGATTCCTCGGTGTTCAGGTTTCCAGCCATTATCAGTGCAGAAGTATTTGATCTGACGTCCAGAACTGTAGCCCGTGTCACAGTTGAAAATGACAGTTTCTCCCTTCTCGTACACATCTTTACGGTTCACCAACTGGGCATGAGGAACTTCGGGAGGTTGCTCCAAGCAATCTGACGGCAACACAGCAACACGGTTAAACTAGCATCACAGAATCAACAATGGATTGCTAAGTATTTATTTAAAGCTTCACTATGTAACTTTTGGTGGAGGTTGCTGGTGGAGATGTCCATTGCTTTGCCCACAATGTTCCATAGTAAAGAAATAAACTATCTCTAGGTGATAAGGTTTTAAGCAAAAACAGTAAGTGTTAAAATTGAATGCTATTGAAATATGGGTTTAATGCCATACAGTGGAACAATCCTGGCAAAGCAAAAACATCTCCATAGAGTAGGTTTTAGAATAGGCTTGGCTGAGCAGACGGGAAACTCCTATCTGCTTACACAAAGGAGTTTAATTAATTAGACAGGGACAGTGCACAATATACATTAAAGGTCCTACAGTACACACAACTGACTCTTGTGAGCTTTGTAAGTGTTATAATGTGATCTCATCAAAGACAGACCTGGAGCTGTGTTTTGTTTCATTCACACATGTATAATCAAGGATTATTAGGCTGTCTGTATCACCAAAACTCAATGCTTCATTCCACCGTGTGATGTCATTTATGGGTACTTTTAAAGTTAACACTTACTTTAAGTCTCAGTTGAACTGTTTTACTCTACAGTACTCTAGAATAACCATAATTAATTTTTGAATATGTTGGTTTTAGCCTTTGTGTTTTCAGTTGAGAAAGGAACACAGTGTAAATATGTTTGAATGAAACAAAACACAACTGTTTGTGATGAGGAAAAAACATCATGACCAGTCATGGAATAATGGCATTAAAATAACTTTTGTCACTAACGGGTATTCTAACTAATTACTTTTCTTATCATTACAACGCTGTTATCATTACCAACACGCCGTTACTGCACGCTGCTGAAGCTACTCATTGAAGTTGTCATCTGACTTGGCACACACAGACACAGGAGCTGCGAATGTGTGTGTGTGTTTTTTTTCCCTTTGGTGAGGGAGGAGGGGCGAGATAACTGTCTAAGTAATGATGATTGGCTAAGGTAGTGTGAGGGTGCACTCACACTTAGACTTTAGAACCATAGCCCCTAAAGTGCTGTACGTTTGTCCAGTGTGAGTGCAATTAACCCGTGCCAGGCATCATGACAGACACCAGATACCAGGCACCACTGATTGGGACTTTGGCCTGGTTAGAAGAGGTGGGCCAAAGCACGGCACAGAGCTCATGTACACGCACACGGACGACTTTACTATACGAACCCTCTCAGGAGTGTTGATGTCACTTATATGATAAAAACAGTAAATAAAACACACAGTGAATCCTTGGTTACCTTCAATAAGGACTGTAAAAGGGAAAGAGAGACAAAATTTAGCAGCCTCGTCTCTGGCTGTCCTCACTCCTCCTGCTGCTTTTCTATACATAAACTTACAGAGGAGTGCCTATAGCAGCAGGACTCGTATCTGCCTCACTATTTAATAGATATTTCTGCAGCTGGACTTATTTCTCCACTAAAGCTCTAGCTCTGCTGCTGCATGTAAACAAACAACGCTGTGTGATGACGTCATTGGGCCGTAGCGCGGTTTGTTTATGCAGGTGTGAGTGCAGCCATAAAACCCACAGCAATCGTGCTTGAGCAAGGCCCAGTTCAAAAGTCCTAGTGTGAGTGCACCCTTAAAAAAAACTTTTAAAAATTACTCAATAGTTAGTTATAATAGTAATAGTAATAGTAATAGTGGAGTAACTCTAATTCAGTTACTTTTTGGGAGAAGTAACTAGTAACTATAACTAATTACTTTTTCAAAGTGCACTGGAGAGGTTTGCAGACAAGTGTGAAGCGGCTGGGATCAAGATCAATTCCTCCAAATCCAAGGCCATGGTTCTCGACTGGAAAAAGGCGTCTTGCCCTCTCCGGGTGGGTGGAGAGTTCCTGCCTCAAGTGGAGGAGTTCAAGTATCTCGGGGTCTTGTTCACGAGTGAGGGGAGGATGAAGTGGGTGATTGACAGGTGGATCGGAGCAGCGTCTGCAGTGATGCAGTCTCTGTATCGGACCGCTGTGGTGAAGAGGGAGCTGAGCTGAAAGGCAAAGCTCTCAATTTACCATCAATCTACGTTCCTCCCCTCACCAATGGTCATGAGTTCTGGGTAATGACCGAAAGGACAAGATCGAGGATACAAGCGGCCAAAATGAGTTTCTGCCACAGAGTGGCTGGGTGCTCTCTTCGAGATAGGGTGAGGAGCTCAGTCACACGAGAGGAGCTCGGAGTAGAGCCACCACTCCTCTATGTTGAGAGGAGCCAGCTGAGGTGGCTCGGGCATCTGTTCTGGATGCCTTCTTTGTGCCTTCTTCAGGAGGTGTTCCAGGCATGTCCCACCAGGAGGAGGCCTCAGGGAAGACCCAGGACACACTGGAGGGACTATGTCTCAGGGCTGGACTGAGAACACCTCAGGGTCCCCCTGGAGGAGCTGGAGGAAGTGTCCGGGGTGAGGAAGTCTGGGAGTCCCTGCTTAGACTGCTGCCCCCGCGACCTGGCCTCGGATAAGCCAAAGAAAATGGATGGATGGACTTTTTCAGAGTAACATGCACAGCACTATTTATGACATAGATCAAAAATAATGCAATATCTAGTCTATTAATCCATGGACCAGACCCAAAAATTTGACATATCAGTTTTTGAAAAATTCTATATCTAAGCTATTTTTTGATAATGATTTAAACTTTTGTATTTGGTTCATTTTAAAGAGAACAGCCTCGTCTTTCATTTAAGATTTGTCAGATCAATTATGACTCTGACAATCACCATGGTAACCACAGCTTTTCAAAATATCACGTGAGAACATTTTGTCACTATTCTCTCTTGAACTCTTTTACTACTTGTTATTGTTTTGTCTTTGAATATCACAGGTATTTTCAATCTGACCCTTTATTGAAATGACTTGTTTGATTGGATACAGAAAACCAGTCTGTTCCTGGCAAGTTACACAACATGTCTCTGTTGTTTGGAAACTGGCTTAGGCCCTCCTGCCAAGTGGACCCACTCGATCTGTTACAGAAGCTTTTCAAATAAGCTGATTCTATAAACATGCATTATTAATGAATACCTACAGACAAAAATGTAGAAATTATGCTAGCATGCTGCAACGAAAAATATGATCAAATGCCATAATGTTCAACTACTGTCACAAAATAAACAATGGGTTTATTTAAAGCTGCACAATTTGGTGGAGAGTTCTTGTGGAGATGGTCATTACTTTGCCAAGAAAAAACTGAATAAATGTTATTTCTAAGTAAATAAATGCGGAATAATGATGTTGCTCTTACTAATCGATTAAAAAGCTCTTACTTTGTGCTGAAACGATGGCGTTCCCCGTCAGCAGCAGCAGTAAGGACACAGAGAGGTGCATGTTGAACCCAATGGTGGACTGTAGCTCAGTCCGACCGTCTCCCTCCAGTTTACACAAGTTTGAGCTGAGAGCGGTTTACATTAGCTCCAGGTCTCAATGCTCTTAAAGGGGCAGACAGCACAGTCTAAAGTCATTTAAAGGTGCACTATGTAACTTTCCTAGCAAAGGTGCCATTGCCTGATTTGGGGCTGGTTTTCAAACTGTGCTTCAGATACAGCCCCAGCGTTGAAGTTGCTATAGTAACCAGCTTAGGACAAATCTCATGTTTGACATTTATTCAATCAGATTTACTCTTGAATCTAACTAGAGGCACTGCTCTGTCTGAAGCTCTGCTGCTCAAGTTAGACTTTAATCTGAGTTTTGTTTTAACACAATCTGACTATAACCTGATTTAGCTGGAACTTCAACAGGTGAACTGATTTGTGTTGAGTTAGAGTTAGTGTTGTTTAAATCAATTTTGTTTAGTCAGATAATCTAAAAACTTATCAGGCTGTGTTTGCTAATGTGGTCATCGTGTCACCATAGTAACTGCTAAACATTCCTCCATAGACATATATACACGTGTGTAAATTGTCCATGGAATTTTTGGTGTTGATGACATAGGCCGAGGCTGAATTTGAGATTTAGGCATCAGTTAAACAAAAGTGACAACATTTTTTTACCAACTTAAGCTTTTTTCTAATGTGTGTCAAATGTGGACCGTCCTTGAAAAGTCCAAAGCTGTTATCACTCCTCAAAACAACCAATAAATAAAGTAAATAAAATAATTGATTGTAGTGTTTGCACAAAATTCAGGGCTGGCTGTTCCTGTAAGTTACAAACCTACCTGCTGTGTGGGTAGCTGGAAGCCATGATGGAAATTCTAAACAACATACATTGCCTAATTGTACTTTTCTATTTTATCTGATTGAAATTATAATGAAATAACCTCTCCTTAAAGTTAGGAGTCAAGAATGCCAAAGTCTGTCCTCAAAGGTGGTTCATAAAGTTTGACTATATGAACTTGCATCTAATGGATTTATTTAATTTCATTTAGTTTTATTTTGAGCTGCATTTGGATCCATCATACGTTGTCTTATTTTTGGGATATTCTTGGCCCCATTCAGTCAGGAAAATATGACTCAAACAGATGATATATAGGACCTCAGCTTAGAATAAAATGGTTCACAATATATACCTCAGCATTGCATTTTAACGTCTGGGTCATTTCACGCCAAATCTCCGAATGCCCCGGCTCAAACATCTCAGATTAGGAAAAGGAATAAGAAAAGTCCCAAATTTTAGCTCCCAACTCCTTACAGTTTTGTCATTAAAAAATATTTTGTCAACTCTGCCCTGAACTGTTTGGAGCAGAGTTTGCTGAGGAGCCAATTTCAGACTGCTGTATCTAAAAAACTATTTAAGGTAGATCCTTCAAATTTTCAGGGGTTAAAATTTGTCAAATGTACTTGTAGAATCTGGACTTTTACACATGTGCTTTTGATTTATCACAGATTTCTGGGGCTTGAATTTGCTAAAAATTTCTACTATTCAAATATGACGGCATCTTTGAAGGACTGTGGAAAGTGCAATTTCAAAGACAGAGGTTTGATATTGAACATACACCTTTCCACACACATGCTGTGGACTTTGTATTTTAAAACTGAACCTCTGTGATGAATACTCTACAAGATATTAAGTGTTAAAAAAAATAATTTGGTGCCACCTTTACCATGTTATACCATAAAAAATTACAGCACCCACCAACATAAAACAGACTGTTTTAGAAAGACTAGATGTTTGTTTTTAACATAGCCAAAATTTGTGATGGTGTTCTGCCTTATTTTCTCAAAATGAATTTTTGAAAATGTGGTGTCCACATACATGCAGAGCATTCATGGACTATGCAGGGACTTTCAGAAGCTTAGAAAACAATGATTTCATGACTGCTGTCATTTTTTTGGTATAACATGGTAAAGGTGGCACCAAATAAATTTTTTCCATTTTTAACAGTTAATATCTTGTAGATCAGGAGTGCTCAATACGTCGATCGCGATCTACCAGTCGATCGCCAAGGTCGTGTGGGTAGATCGGCGTGTCTCATCTCGGACTCGCGTTTGGACTCGGTCTTTTCTCTCACTCGAGGTCTGACACTCAACAAGTGCGATCATATTTCATTACGGCCGCTGCTGTTGGTAATAAACTTGTAGCGGGTGCAGGAGCGTGTGGGGCGTCTCAGTGCAGCCTGTGCGCTCATTTGAAACCCGCGGAGACTCTACGGCACATCACAAACACACACGCTCCCTATGCACGGCTCGTCTGCAACAGCGTGTGCCCTCGTGTACCAGCGTGCATCACAGGGCAGGTTCAACTTCCTAAACATCCTACCTGTCCATCTGCCTCACGTCAGCACGCCGCCCCTCGCCTTTTCACGCTCTCGCTCCTTCCTGCGTACAGCCAACACAAGCCCCTCCCACAGTGCGGCTGATTAGAAGAACAAGACCAAATGTCAAGCAAAAACGAGTCTAAATTTGTGTTCCAGTGTTGGCACAAAGCAGGTCTACAGCATAGAGCAGATCTACAGAACAGACCTACTGCCACATTTGGCTGAAGTTTGTCTAACAAAAGTGCACAAATGCATCTGTGTTTGTCACGATGTGCGTTTGGTTTGGTAAATGTGCAGAGGCTGGTAAATATCACTGCAAAACCAGAAAAGAATGTAACTCCAGTTTGGAACTTTAAAAAAACAGGTTTAAAAATCTTCCTTCACTTTTTTCACAGTTTTGTGTAAAGTGCCAGAGGAAGTTCTCTTAAAGAAGAGGTTCTCAAACTGTGGGTGAGGGTCCAAAAAAGGGGCACAGAGTGTTTCAGTGCAGTTTGTTTGGCTTTGTATTAGGTAGATCTTTATGACTTGGTCATTTTGTAAGTAGTTCGCATGCTCAAAAAGTGTGAGCACCCCTGTTGTAGAGCGTTCATCACAGAGGCTCAGTTTTAAAATACAAAGTCCACAGCATGTGTGTGGAAAGGTGTATGTTCAATATCAAACCTCTGTCTTTGAAATTGCACTTTCCACAGTCCTTCAAAGATGCCGTCATATTTGATTAGTAGAATTTTCGAGCAAGTTCAAGCCCTAGAAATCTGTGATAAATCAAAAGCACATGTGTAAAAGTCCAGATTCTACAAGTACATTTGACAAATTTTAACCCCTGAAAAATTGAGGGACCAACCTTAAATAGTTTTTTTTAGATACAGCAGTCTGAAAGTGGCTCCTCAGAAAACCCTGCTCCAAACAGTTCAGGGCAGAGTTGACAAAATATTTGTAATGACAAAACTATAAGGAGACTTTTAATATTGGAAAGTGTGTGAACCTTCTAGAATTTTTTCAGTCAAATCTGAGATGGTTGAGCGGGGACATTCAGTGATTTGGCGTGGAATGACTCATCTGAGATATAACTTGTATAAAGGAAACATTCTAGTGATGTTTGTACCTATTACATTGTTAATCACTATGACAACAGTATGTGTCATTATGAGATTTTATGTGATGTACAGAGCGCAGACTGGAGTATGTCACAAAAAGAAAAAGAAGCCATAAATCATCCAAATACTTTTGTCTTTAATCAACATGTAACATTTTAGAATGGTGCGGGTAAGATCTTGCAGCTCAGTTGGTAAGAGTGTTCGTCCACTCATTTGAAGGTTGATGGTTCAAATCCTGCTCTTGACATAAACATCATTGGTTGAGCGCTCAGATCCACTGACCCACAGGTTGGCTGGTGTGATTCCAGCTCCTACAGATAAATGCTGTAATTGTGTCCTTGGGCAAAACACTTAACCCACCTTGCCCTCAGTGTCTGCGTACACTGGAGTGTGAATAGGTGAGTGGTGCCTTAAAGGTGGAAAAGTTCTATAGAAAAAGTGACCATTTACCATTTGGGCTTAAAAATGCATTTTGTAACTTTTCTGGTGGAGGGTCTGTCAAATGCTTTTCTCCGTGGAGATTGTTGTTGCAGTGTATGTATTGAACCTTATTATCTTCCAAACTAACATCTGTGGAGACCCCCGCTCACAGTTAGAATGCCTCCCTTTTAGGTATTTGGGTTTTTACGTGCAATGCAACAAAACTGGCAAAATGCAAACAGAGCATTTTTCAGCTCTCAAAGACAACAACTTTGGATTAGTGAATTAATGTCACAATGGTGAATATAGCAAAATACTTCTCCAGGTGTGTTTTTGATGAGGGGACAACAATATAACATAGTTAAAAACTTAAACTTAAAAAAGTGAAATACCATAATGTGTTATTTAAAACAATGTTTATAATCTTACTTCCTGGTTGGACACGGGCAGTAGATACAACATATGTAGAGGTAATTCCATAACTGTTGCCTAGCAACCATTTTTTAAACAAGGGCCAAAGCTGGTCTACTCAACATTTATTAATTGAGAAATAAAAATATATGAAAACAGCTTGATTTTAGATAGATAGATTATTATAATAAATATTATAGTATTATTATTATTATTATAAGAAGTGTCTCTCATATGAACATTCCCACCAAACGAAGCAATAGAAATTAGAACCACATGAAAACCTGTAGTATGTTCTTTAATGTAACTCCTTTACAAAATTGTGCTTATCTGTAATAAACTGTACCAACATCACAAATGCTTTATTAATCAACTTCAGTCTCTATTACTTCTGGCTCTGAAAGACAAATAATTATGTAATTTAACAGACAATTCAATTTGCATTTCAGGATATGTAAAACAAAACAAAAAAAAAAACTTTAGAATATAAGCTTTGAAAATACAAACCATTACAACGGATGCTCTCCTGTTGCCACTTCCCATTTTTGCACACAATGGTGCCATTTCCTTGCATGATGTAATTATCCCGACACTTGTATTCAAGCACAGTGTCTGATAAGTACTCTTTCTCAAATGGAGCAAAAATTAAAGCATCCTTCACTTTAGTGGGTGGGCGGCACAACTTAGCAATGGCTAAAACAAAGAAGTAGACATGTCAAGATTAGACAGGCAGGCAAGTTTATTTGTATACAACATAAGCAAACCAAAACATCATAAAATTAACATAAAAAGAGAAAAGTGCAGAATGAAAACTTTCAGTCATATGCACAGCTAAACAGAACCTGTCCCACATCTTCAGGAAGGCTACACGTCTTTTCTGCAGGTTTTAGCTGCTGAAAACTGAAACACTGACTCTTTTCTGACTCTGGGCAACAGAAGGCCAGGACTGAACCTGGAATAAACTGGGACTAAACAGGGAGTAAAACCAGGACTAACAGGAGGCCGGTCCCTGAGGTCCTCAGAGTGCAGATGGTTCATATGGCACAAACATATCAGAGATACGGTGCTCGGCCCTGGAGAGACTTGTACACAAGCAGAGCCGCTTTAAAATCTATTCTCTGAGCCACAGGGGGCAGTGCAGAGACCTGAGCACAGGACTCATGTGCTCGTACTTATATACTTAGGTTAATCGATAATCTACATTATACAGGTCACAGTATACACAATGAGAACTAAAAGATGACTGTGACCCGGATTGAGACTAACCCAGACTGAGACACTGACACTGACCTGGACTGAGAGACTCAGGAAACCTTTGCAGGGGTTTTGAGCTAATTAGCTAATTAAGGTGTGACACCACAGCTGTCCAGTATTGAACTTTTTCACACTATTCTAACTTTCTGACACACTGAATTTTGGGTTTTCATTATCTGTAAACAATAATCATTCAAATTTCAAGAAATAAAGTGAAAGCTTCGCTGTGTGAGTCTTTATAATATATGGTTTTGACTTTCTGAAATTCATAACAAAGAATATTGAACGTTTTCACAACATTTTATGGTCTAGAGATGGACTAGTATGTATAGCAGAAAAAAATAATGCCACACCATACCAACGAAGCAAGTTCCGAGTTCGTATATTTTTCTGATTCTGAGACATGATGTAACACAGAGTGACTCACGTGTACAGATGCTCTTAAAGTCCACTTTTTCCTCTGTTTTGTCGCTCCATTTCCCTTCTCTGCAGGTCAGCTCCTGTAGGAGTGGTCTGTATCCAGCCTCACACCCAATCTGGATTCTGAATCCATTTGGGAATCTCTGATTCTCAGACATCACACTCACATTTGGGATATCAGGAACTGGGCCACAGTCTGTTTTGGCTGCAGGTCAAAATGAAACAGAAACAATACAGTATTTGAGAAGAGAGGGACACTGGGGACATGTGCATGGACAGTAAAAACCAAACAACGAGAACAATCAGATAACCCGACACCATCTCATTTCATCCTTCTTGACCAATTCTCTTTTATTGCTACTTTGCAGCTATTCCCTGGGGGTGTAATGCTAACTAATGCACTGCTCTGTCTGAAGCGCTGTTACTCAAGTTAGACTTTAATCAGAGCTTTATTTTATCACAATCTAAGAAGAAAGAGTTGAAACTACAACCAGTAACATGGTTTTTGCTGTTAAACAAGTCACAAGCCAGCAAACATTAGCCAGCAGTTTTTCAGTCACTCTCACATTTTTGTGGAAAATCAAGCACCTAATTAGGACAATGGACGCTCGTATTGATCACAGGATCCTGAAAATGTGTTGCTTAAATTAATTTTGTATTTTTTTTCTTCAGTTTTAAAACTTTCTGGCAGTGTTTGCTAATGTGTGGGTTGTGTTACCAAATGCTACTACAGCGCACTACAGGTGCCAACAATCAGAAAGCAATCAAAAATCAAATAATCTGTCTAAAGAGATGAGCTGACTACACTGAATCAAACACACCCTAGTTGTTTCAAGTATGGATATCTGTTATTACTTAAGTCCACTGAAATCCCCTGAGGTGTGAACTGTCACCTGAACCATATTTTACATATTTTCCATGCCCCGAGCAGATGATCTAAATCCTATTAACATACTCTGATTCCCCCTGTTGTTGTGCTTTAGACCCTAATTTCTGTTCAGAGGTGGACTGTCTTTCTAGACAAATGGCTATGATGTGTACTTCACCATCTCCACCCATTTAAAACTCCATGCAGACCCTGGATCATTGCTGTAACGTGGTTATCATGACATAAAAGTAATATGCACTACTGGTAGTGAGGAGCAAACCACCAACCTTTTAGTTAGTGGGAAAATATATGTAACTGAGCTGATGAAGGGAGGGACTAAAGTGCTACTTAATATACACTACCAGTCCAAAGTTTTAGAACACCCTAATTTTTCCAGTTATTTATTGCAATTCAAGTCGTGCAAGTCCAATGAAGAACTTGAAATGGTACAAAGGTAAGAACTGAACAGACAGAGGTTAAAAAATAAAGGTAAAAGAACAAAACAAAAGTCCAAGCTCTGCCAAAACTACCTCAGGAAAAAAGAACAAGATGATAAAGCTTGAAAACATGGAGTGTCCAGCAGCACAGTGTCCAGACTTAAACCCCATGGAGCTGGTTTGGGATGAACTGGACAGAAGAGTGAAGTGACCAACAAGTGCCACACATTTATGGAAACTTCTGCAAGAGACTTGGGAAGAACTTTCTCAACAATATTTGATTTCTGTTGTAAAAAGAACGAGCCACGAGTGTGTTCAGCTGTTATATCTACCAAAAGTGGACACTTTCATGAAAGTTTAGAATACATTTTGGTCAACAGCAAATGGTAAAAAACTGGAAAAAGTGTGGTGTTCTAAAACTTTTGACCAGGAGTGTATCCTTCCCTAATACATGATAGCTTATTTTGAAGTTTACCTTTTTGTCATATCTTCAAAACAATCTGTCCACCCACAGAATTAAAAGTTTTGGTCATTTTATAAATCAAAATCCAGTCATCCAATCACATATTACTATTAAAAAGTAAAAACATTACCAACACATTCTTGGGTGTTCCATTTGCCGTTCTCACACGAGGCTACGTCCCACCACCCTTTACCGAGCAGTTTATATTCAGGCAAACAGGTGTAGTACAGCGTGTTATTGTATTCATGTGAATACCCATTGGGGATATCAGATCCACTACATGCAGTTGGTACTAGAAAAAGACAATGTTAAATGTGATGGCTGAAGACAGAAATAAAAACACACAAACGTTAAGACAATGGGATCAAACTATTTCAAATTGTCACTTATCTTTTTTAAGCACATTCTAATAACATAGAGAAAAATCCTGCACACCATCTTACTTGCAAATTGTGAAATTTATTAGGACAAACCCTGCAATGTTTCAGCACTAGACCTTTGAGAACGAGAGCTCAGGTGGCCATCTTAAATAGGATGTGGCAAGCACCCAAGGGTGACAGGTCGTAAAGAAACAGTGTACCCAAAACACCATCATTCATAAAACAAAGACAATCAACATACAGTATAATCATAATAATAATTAAATATTAATCATTGCAGAAAAATCATTGAATAATAATAGAAAAATATTCTTATATTCTTATTTTTCTATTATTATTCAATGATTTGTTATTATTTTTCTTATTTTTCTTTTTTTTTTCTTTCTATGTGTGTTTTGTTTTTTCTCTTATGTTCTTGGGCTGCTCCCTCTCCTCCAACGCACCCATCTCAAGAAATTGATGTGCGAAGTTCTCATTCTTCAGGCATATCCTAATAAAATCTATTTGGTACCATTTAATAATAACTACATCTTAAATAGCCTCATAGGAGCATGAAGAAAAACTTAACTGATAATGAACAAATAGTTTATTAAAAATTATTCACACTTAGTAACTATTAATTAAGGAGTTAGGGTATTTCTTAAGTAGTTACTAAAACTAATCACGCTTAATAAACTATTAATAATAACTATCTTTATTTAGGCTATTTCAATAATTACAGAGTGTTACCCCTTATTTTATTTTATATACTGGCAGATTTGTTCAGTGTGAGGGGAGGCAAGAGCCAGTTCATTCTAGTGATTACTGTACTTTCATACCTATTTCAGCTGCCCCCTGAATTAAAGTAGGACTAAACACTTAAACTCCGCCCACTAAAAGATAGAGTGAAGGGGGAGGAGGGGCGGAGTCGGGAGGTATAAGGAACAGCGTCATTGGTCTAACAGGGATCCACACTTCACACTCCGCCCCTGCAGCAGGTGTTTGAATCAGAAACACATGGCTGTAATCATCACATTCTAGAATCTGAAAATCACGAACAGAATCAAATATATTTATATACATACTAGTACATACCTTCACACTGGTGGTTGTTGATCCACTCTCCAGACTGACAGCTCACTTGGAACGTTTCTTTTAGACCAGTGCTGCAGCTGAGAGTGACCTCCTGGCCATGTGCATACTGCTGCTCAGGGGGGGTATCCATCTCTGCATTTCTGATATTTGGTGGTTGACTGCACGGGACATCTACACCAGCACAAAGTCATACATTTAAAGTTGCTGTGTCAGATTTAAAAAAAATTAACAAAACAAAAACCTAGCAGCTAGATCATGTTTAACTGTTTGCAGTGGTCCAAAGTAATTCTTTCCTTACCTTATGCATTTAGACCATCCTAATTATTCACCACAATTACTTCGTACATGCTTTTCACAGCTTTCAGAGGCCAGAGTGGTGTTTGTAGTCATAGTAATGTTAACAACTAGCATGCTGACCACACACTGATGATTCTCGGACAATAAAATGGACTTATTTTGAGCTCAACAGCTGCTTATACAAAATATCTGTATATTTAAATAAATAAATAAATGAATAAATGACACGGGGAACAGGGGTCGAAATGGCTGTGCTGGACAACTTAAATATAAAATATAAAATTAAAAATTAAATATTAAATAAATCTGGTGTCCCCACATATTAACATGTATTCAAATAAGTTTTACTTTTGCTCAGTACTAAATTGTACTTAAGTAAAAGTAAAAGTACACATGAAAAATACTACTCAGATATTTACTTTCACATGATTTGTCTTTCTTCCACTGCCCAGAGTCACAGGTCACTTTGAAATGATCAGTGTCACCATTGCATCTGAACCAAACAGAAGAACCATCTTCATATGGGTTTCTTCTGGACCTGTCAAGCATCTCTCCATTTTTAACCATGGGTGGTGTCTCACAGCGCTGCCCTACAGAAATACAATACACACAGTTCATTTAAAGGTGCATAGTGTAACTTTTCTCGTGGAGAGTCCATCACCTGCTTGTTTCTATGGTTATGTCTTTGCTCTGTCTGGAATGTTCCACAGTATGATATTAAATATCTCCATTACATTACAATTTAATACATTACATGTATTAAATTACTGGTGGTTTTATAGCTCAAAAATACTTAGGAAAACAGGCATTATAACTGTGAGCGGGGTCACCTCTCCACATATCTGGAGCCTTACTTATAAAAGATTGCTTCAAAATCTACATGAAAGAGTTTGTACGGACAAAACGCAGATTTCATGTACCAGAAAAAATACTGGGATTTGTAAAACCTTCCACAGCACTCCCTCGTGGAATCGCGGTGCCGTGCGCATGACCACAGTGACTTTGACTGTCTTTTGGCAGCGTGCTTCCTCTGTGGGTCAGCTGTAAGAGATGGTCAGACGTGTGTCCAGAGATTGTCTCATAAATGGACACAGTGACGCTACAGGGATCATCCAACATCAGTGTCAGCAAGTGCCAATGCGCTCTGGTGCACGTAGATGAACGTCCATGTGCACACATCTTTATTCCCTCTAACAATTGCAACGCTTTGTAAAATTACAATACACAAATATATTGTGCATGTTTCCCAAACGCTTCAATTACATTCTGTGTCTTTTTCTGGAAAAATAAAGTTAAAACAGGTTTAAACTTCCACTAAACACAACGTCCTCCTTTATAAATACCAACTTTGACGTGTGTACGCACATTTCTGACCTCATTTTATGCGTACAGAGGCTTTATAAATGCCTCTGTACACCCTGACCTGCAACTTTGTTTGGTTTGATGCGCATGAAGATAGGAAGGTTTAATATCATACTGTGAAACATTCAAGACAAAGTATTTGACGGACATCATTGCTTCATGTTTGACGTCTTCAGTATGTATCTAAAATTTTGAAACTTGAAAACCAAGCACTGATTGCGATGGTGTGTGCAAACTTTTGACTGGTAGTGTAGTTGTGTCCTTGTGTCTTTTTACACAAACTGCCACTTAACTGATGTAAAACTATGATAAATATTTACCACAAATAACATACACCAAACCAAGTCATCATTACAAAAACATGAACACCTGTCATTTACAGTTTGTAAATGCTGCTTACCTTTACACTCTGCAACTGAGCCTTTCCAAGTTCCACTTTGACAGTAAACGGAAAAGGTTCGGGTGGGTTCATAGGTGCATTTAAAATAAACTCTGTCATTGGTGTTGTATTTGTCATACTGATAATAATCAGTAATCTCAGCATTTTTATAAGAAGGTTTTGTGCAGCCTCTTTCTGGAAAACATGAAATTAGAAAATTAGAGCAAAGAACAGCATTTTGAATGAAAAACTAACTTTAAAAGCCCTACACCTGACTTGTATTTGAGCAAACTTTGTCTTGCCCCAGTACAGATACAGTATGAGCAGCTCATGAATAAGTCTACTGTGTACTGCATCTAAACTTTACAGCTTTTTATTAAGTGGTAATCAGGAAGTGTATTAGAATGCTAGTTGTTTGCATTGCTGATGCAAAACTCCGCTCTGGTCTCTGAAAGTTGTAAAAAATGCTTAGAAATTCTCAGGTACAGGGCCTTTAACGTTTACTTATTGCTTTTATTTATGTTATGTTTACTTGTAACAGTGAGTAATGGTTTTATACATATTTGTCAGTATATTCTCTGTAAATGTGACAGTGATGAATCCTAAAAATGTGTGTGTAAATATAACATATAAAATAGTCCACAGTACCTTTACAAAGAGGTTTTGGCTCCCAGCCTCGTCTGGTGCACCTGGCTCTGCTGTCCCTGTCCACAGCCTCAAAACCTCCACGACACTCATACCATAATATTTCATCAATGTCGGCTGAGGTCCGATAATGGTACGAATAATAACTACCTCCTTCCCACCGGGAGACAAGTGAATCATCTTTGAGACATTTGACCGCTGAAGTAAACACAAGAACAACACAAGGACATTAAAGAGATTTAAAGATTAACACTGATACTTTGCAGCTGATGACATCAACATTCACTGGAGTGTGAAGCTAACTGGAGGCATTGATCTGTCTGAAGCTGTGTTACTTAACTTAGACTTTAATCTTTAAACTTTGAGCTTTGTTTTAACACAAACTAACCAGAAAAACCTGACTGAGTTGGAACTACAAAGGGGGATCTGATTTGTGCTGTCAGACAAGTGTGAAGTATACATTAGCCGACAGTTTTTCACTTCGTCTCTGTCCCTTTTTGTTGAAAATCAAACACCTAAATGGGAGCATCACAGGCTCCTGAAAATGTGTTGTTTAAATGTGTTTGAATCCGTTTAGTATGTAAAAACTTATCAGGATCTGTTTGCTAATGTGTGCGTTGTGTTACCATGGTAACGGCTGAACATTCCACCACAGACATACATGCAGTACCCCCAGCGTGATGTCACTGCAAAGTATCAATTTCTAAATACATATTTGTGTGTGTAGTGTGTGTTGTTGCATACGTTGGCACACAGGGTTAAAGTCCCAGCTTCCTGTGCGTCCTGTGTTTTTACAAACGAGTTGAGCTGTCTGAAGCTCGGTGCTCTTCACCCACTTATTTTCTCCACACGTGACGGTCAAACTTTCTCCAGGGGTGAAAATGATCCTGTCCCGAGGATTGTAAGTAGTGCCTGATGGTGGGTCAGCACTGACTTTACATGTTATAGCTACAAGAAATCAGAAATCTGTTATTACTGAAGATATCTGGTTTAACACATGAGTTATTTGGTTTGTGCTAGATTCAGGTCCGGAGGGACGGACATTAAAATGTAGCTCTGGTTGCTGTCATTGCTCAATCTGGCACCTTTTATAATTTAATTTTATGTAATTAGTTGTTCTGTCACTGTTAAGTATTACTAAGCTTCAATATATTAATATTAAAAATTTCATGGCATATATTCTTAGAAATAGAAACAAAAACAATTGTATTTGACCATAATAGCTGATTTAAATGGTCACATGGTAAATGTGAGTCACATTTTATAAGCTCTTTTCCACTTTCAAGGCACTAAATGTGCTTCAAAGAACCATTCACCCATTCACACACACATTCATACACCAGTATATTCAGACACTAGTGAGTGTTATTCTGAGTAAATTTGATTGAACAAATCTAAAAAAAAATTATCTGTATCTGAGCATGTGCAGTATGGATCTAAAAAAAAATCCAGATACGACACTCCCCCTCTGTCCCCAAGTGAGATCGACTAGTGGTCGCTCCAGGTACTGCAGCTCCCAGGAGCTCCGGCCCAGAAAGAATCCTCCCATAAAACACAATGAGAGGATTAGTGTATCTGACCATAGAGCACAATACAATTTTGTGAAATCAAACTGCCTGTGTTCGACTGACAGGGCAACGACAGCTTTAACAAAGGTCACATTTTGTAGGATTCTTATGTTCATGTTGGGTTCATCTTCCAGATCTTATTATACTTCCATGATCTGCATTTCCAAATCGAGCAGTGGCAGTTGTCATGGTAATATGTCAGCTTCTGTTGCTGTGATCAGGCCTAAAATGTCAAGTTTTTAATGTTTTATTTTATGTCTAAGTTGAGATAAGGCTTCTAATCATGTTCCTAAACTTAACCAAACCCAAATCTTAACCATTTTCCTAACCTTAACCATAACTCGTTTCCTAACTTTAAAAATAAATTTGGTCACTTCAGAGAACCAGTCACAGCCAGGCGTCCCTCCCAACCCTACATTCTAGCATTAACCTTTGAATTTGTTGACTCACGTTCACACTGAGGCGTGGGGACCCACTGAGCTGACTGGCCCGTTTTCTCACACCTTGCAGGTCTCCCGTCCCTCTTTGTATAGTTTTCATCACATATGTAGTTCAACACATCCCCTTCTCTGTACACATCCTTCTTATTAGTAATTCTGAAGTGGTTCAGCGGAGGCTCAGAACACGATATTACTGTAAAACAAATCCAAAGCAACATGTTTAGGTTATTTATAGAGAGGTATTTAGTACAATGGAAACGAAAATGCTTAATATGCCACTCATTTCACCAAACAATGACTAATTACAGATGTTTTTTGTTTTTTTTCATGCCGATACTAATTATTTGAATCAAAAGCAACCGGGGTCGCTATTTGAGCCCAGTTTGGATTATTTCCCCTAAATTCTGTGATTTCAATTCACTACAAACCTTTTTTTTTTTTTTTACCACAAACCTATAAGAGAAATATATAGTCATGTTTTGGGTAGTTATTTTTTTAGACTAGTCTTCAAATAGAGCTTTATGTGCATTCTTTACTCAGCAAGTTGGTCAAAACAAAAGATCTGCTGGAGATTTAAAGCCAATATCAGGTTAAAAAGTGCAAATATGGACTATTTAAGATTTTACTAAAAACCTCCATCCATCCATTTTCGTCCGCCAGGTTGCGGGGGCAGCAGTCTAAGCAGGGACTCCCAGACTTCCCTCACCCCAGACACATCCTCCAGCTCCTCCGGGGGAATCCCGAGACGTTCCCAGGCCAGCCGAGAGACATAGTCCCTCCAGCGTCTCCTGGGTCTTCCCCGGGGCCTCCTCCCGGCGGGACATGCCCGGAACACCTCCCGAGGGAGGCGCCCAGGAGGCTTCCGGAACAGATGCCCGAGCCACCTCAACTGGCTCCTCTCGACGTGGAGGAGCAGCGGCTCTACTCCGAGCTCCTCCCGTGTGACTGAGCTCCTCACCCTATCTCTAAGGGAGCGCCCAGCCACCCTGCGGAGGAAACTCATTTCGAGCGCTTGTATCCGTGATCTCATCCTTTCGGTCACTACCCAGAACTCATGACCATAGGTGAGAGTAGGAACGAAGACTGACCGGTAAATCGAGAGCTTCACCACAATGGTCCGATACAGCGACCGCATCACAGCCGAAGCTGCACCAATCCGCCTGTCAATCTCATGTTCCGTCCTCCCCTCACTCGTGAACAAGAACCTGAGATACTTGAACTCCTCCACTTGAGGCAAAGACTCCCCACCCACCCGGAGAGGGCAAGCCACCTTTTTCCGTTCGAGAACCATGGCCTCGGACTTAGAAGAGCTGATCCTCATCCCAACCGCTTCACACTCGGCTGCAAACCGCCCCAGTGCACGTTGCAGGTCCTGGATCGATGAAGCCAACAGGACAACATCGTCCGCAAACAGCAGAGATGAAATCCTGTGGTCCCCAAACCGGACCCCCTCCGGCCCCTGACTGCGCCTAGAAATTCTGTCCATAAATATAATGAACAGAACCGGTGACAAAGGGCAGCCCTGGCGGAGTCCAACGTGCACCAGGAACAGGTCTGACTTACTGCCGGCAATGCTGAACACAGCTCCTGCTCCGGTCATACAGGGACCGGACAGCCCTTAGCAAAGGGCCCCGGACCCCATACTCCCAGAGCACCCCCCACAGGACACCACGAGGGACACGGTCGAATGCCTTCTCCAGATCCACAAAGCACATGTGGACCGGTTGGGCAAACTCCCATGAACCCTCGAGCACCCGATGGAGAGTGTAGAGCTGGTCCAGTGTTCCACGGCCAGGACGAAAACCACACTGCTCCTCCTGGATCCAAGGTTCGACTCTCGGCCGGATTCTCCTCTCGAGTACCCTGGCATAGACCTTACCGGGAAGGCTGAGGAGTGTGATCCCCCTATAGTTGGAGCACACCCTCCGGTCCTCCTTCTTATACAGAGGGACCACCACCCCGGTTTGCCAGTCCAGAGGTACTGTCCCCGACCGCCACGCGATGTTGAAGAGGCGTGTCAGCCAAGACAGCCCCACAACATCCAGAGACTTCAGGTACTCAGGACGGATCTCATCCAACCCCGGAGCCTTGCCACCAAGGAGCTTGCCAACCACCTCAGTGACTTCAGCCAGGGTGATGGATGAGTCCGTCTCCAAGTCCCCATCCTCGGCTTCCTCCTCGGAAGACATGACGGTGGGATTGAGGAGATCCTCAAAGTATTCCTTCCACCGCCGGACAACATCCCCAGTTGAGGTCAACAGCTCTCCCCTCGCACTGTAAACAGTGTTGGTGAAGAACTGCTTCCCCCTCCTGAGGCGCCGGACGGTTTGCCAGAATCTCTTCGAGGCCGTCCGATAGTCCTCCTCCATGGCCTCCCCGAACTCCTCCCAGCTCCGAGTTTTTGCCTCCGCAACCGCACGGGCTGCAGCAGGGTTGGCCAGCCGGTACCCGTCAGCTGCCTCAGGAGTCCCCCGAGCCAGCAAAGGCCCGATAGGACTCCTTCTTCAGCTTGACAGCATCCCTTACTTCCGGTGTCCACCAGCGGGTTCGGGGATTGCTGCCACGACAGGCACCACAGACCTTACGCCCACAGCTCCGAGCAGCCGCATCAACAATAGAGGCAGAGAATGAAGCCCACTCGGACTCCATATTTCCAGCCTCCCCCGGAATCCGGGAGTAGTCCTCCTGGAGGTGCGAGTTGAAAGTCCCTCTGACAGAGGGCTCCGCCAGACGTTCCCAACAGACCCTCACTACACGCTTGGGCCTGCCAGGTCTTTCCGGCTTCCTCCTCCGCCAGCGAACCCAACTCACAACCAGGTGGTGATCAGTTGACAGCTCAGCCCCTCTCTTCACCCGAGTGTCCAAGACACGCGGCCGGAGATCAGATGACACGACTACAAAGTCGATCATTGACCTCCAACCTAGAGTGTCCTGGTGCCACGTGCACTTATGGACACCCTTGTGCTCGAACATGGTGTTTGTTATGGACAAACTGTGACTAGCACAGAAGTCCAATAACAAAACACTGCTCGGGTTCAGATCGGGGAGGCTGTTCCTCCCAATCACCCCTCTCCAACTGTCACTGTCGTTGCCCACGTGAGCGTTGAAGTCCCCCAGGAGAACAACGGAGTCCCCGGTCGGTGCACTGTCTAGTACCCCTTCCAAGGACTCCAAGAAGGCCGGGTACTCTGCACTGCTGTTCGGCCCGTAGGCCACCACAGTGAGAGACCTGTCCCCGACCCGAAGGCGCAGGGACGCGACCCTCTCGTTCACCGGGGTGAACTCCAACACACAGCGACTGAGCTGTGGGGCAATGAGCAGGCCCACACCAGCCCGCCGCCGCTCCCCGCGGCCAACGCCAGAGAAATGGAGAGTCCAGCCCCTCTCAAGGAGTTGGGTTCCAGAGCCCAAACTGTGCGTGGAGGTGAGGCCGACTATATCTAGTCGGTAACGCTCAACCTCCCGCACAAGCTCAGGCTCCTTCCCCCCCAGCGAGGTGACATTACATGTCCCCAGAGCTAGTCTCCATGTCCGGAGATCCGGTCGCCGACTGCCGCCCAGATCTCTCTGCACCGGCCCCATATGGATCCTCCCGCGGGTGGTGGGCCCACGTGAGGACGGCCCCACGTCACTTGTCATACAGGGCTTCTGAACCGTTCTTCGTCTGACCCGTCCCCCCGGACCTGTTTGCCTTGGGTGACCCTACCAGGGGCATGAAGCCCCCGACAACATAGCTCCCGGGATCATTCGGGCACTCAAACCCCTCCACCACGATAAGGTGACGGTTCAAGGAGGAGTAAAAAAAAAAACCTTCCTTTTTTTTTTTTTATGAAGCTAATTTTTTTGCTTGCTGTTTGGACACTGCAGCAGTCAGCGTATATGACATGCGGTAATTCAGTAAGTGTTACCTAGCTTTGTTGTTTTTAAAATTGCACAATAGTTATGATAAGAATAAAAATAAATCAAAGTTTAGACTTCCAGAAAAATGTCTTCTTTGTTGATGGAATGTTAATGTTAATGAGTATGAGTAGAGGTACTTTCTGTTAGTTAGTTAGTTAGTTCAAACCTGCACATGTAAATGCAATTCACATAACAACGTAACAATACTCAGGGCATCACTGTCTCTCCTCCAGGTATTTTTTCCATTATTTCTCTTTTAAATAGCGAAGGAGAAATTCAATTTGTCAGGACAAAATTTATTTGGTCGAATACATTTCACAGTTCATCCAAGCTGCTTCTTCATTTCTGGTCAGAATGCTGGTGGGTACTTCATTATATCTGCCAGCAGGGAGGCGCTAACTACAGTGAAACTACTCTGAAATGAACACACCTACTTGTTTAGAGTTTCTGTTAGTTAGTTAGGCCTATTGAAATACACTGAGTGTGGGGTCATATTAGCAGAATCATTCAGGGCCCTAATGGAGTTTTCACACCTCTGGACCTGACCTGGCTGGCTATTGTTCTCTTGTTTGTTTTGATTTAGGTTGGAGGATGGAGCTGTAAATAGGAGATAGACAGTGTCTGAGAAGGATTCTCGTTCTTAACAAAATATCTTCTTTAAACTCCCCCCTCAAAACTATTCTTTTGTCTGGCTCAAATCTGTACCTCACTGTCACTGCCGAGTATTTAGCATTTAGGTTTCCACTACATTTACTCATCTATTATAACTCCCAAAAACACATTTTGTTCAACTCTATCAATATATGTATTAGCTATGGTTATTTGGACTGGTATGGGACTTTTACAATTTCCAGATAATAATAAAATAAATAATAATAAAATAATATATATTTTTAGCTTATTCATTTCCACAGCTATTTGAGACAAAAGCTGCTTTAAATTATCCCCTGTATTTGTCTGTATTTTTTAGTACACAAACGCCTACTATTTGATGTAAAACTATGATGAATATTTACCACGGGTACCAAACCAGGTCAAAATTAGACAGATATGAAAACCCCCAAAAGTTATATGCAAAGTAATTACACACACACGTGCACACACACACACACACACACACACACACACACACACACACACACACACACACACACACACACACACACACACACACAAACTACAGAATAAACAATATAATAATGATTATGGATACTGTGTTAAAGGGCCAATATTTTCTGATCATTTCTGATTGTGATGTCACATGACACAGGAAGTGCTCCATACACCTTCACTAGAATCATTTGGATGATTTCAGCCCTGGTATTACTACTGAACTAAAAGTAAAAAGGAGTTGTTAAAGGGACTGTCAGATTTTTGGACATAGGATCTCATTTCCTAGTGAGCCAGTGTTGGAGATATGTGGAGACACTTTTTGAAATATCCTATCCAGTCCTTGTATTTGCAGAGGTCGCTGGTGCTAGGCTAGTGTCAATGGCCATAGTTATCCTGCCACTAAAAACAGTCTTACCCACTCCACAAAACACCCAAAGCAAATCTATTATTACACCAGACTGTCCATCTAAATGTTTATGTCAAGAGAATAATTGTAGAAGTAAAACAAACCTTGCATTTGAAGGATTTTTGTCTGAGCAGCAAGCCCTGGACTTTCAAAATGGCCATGCATTCAAGTCAATGGGCTGAGCTCAATGGCGCCAGATTCCAGACTGGCCTTTAGCCCATCTAGGTACTTCCGGCGGCTCTCGGCCAATTGAGCATGTGCAGTAGTGCTCTTTTCTCCTGCTGGCACACATGAATGCACGTGAGCGCATGCACAGAGCGAGGTCTCATGTATCACGTTATCACTTTGACCAGTCAGAGCAAGAGGAGCAGAGTGAAGCAAAGCAAAGCCAGAACTAACGATTAAAGCGTTTTTTAAGACAACTGAAGGGTTTTGAGCTGAGAATAAGTTTATGATTTAAATAACTAAACATTGCCACAAAATCCGACATGTCAGCCGAACACGAGCAGTTTGTGATTACATTGCGCTCTATGAGAAAAATCCTGTCTCAGCCCAGAGCATTTTTTCCGCTGAAGTACCAGTGAGTGTCACTACGCCAACTGGATGCACCTACAAGCAGCAACACCTTCCAGTTATTTTAATAGATCCATGCTGAGCAGCACCAAGTTTTACTTCCTGTTAGAAAGCTTGGCAGCGGCGGACTGATATATGAGAAAATAGTCCCTCAACATGTGACGCAAGGTTAGTTTTATTTCAAACATTATTCTATCAACAAAGACATTTACATGGACAGTCTGGTGTAATAATAGAATTTTTCTTGGGGTGTTTTGTGGAGTGGGTAGTTTTAGTGGCAGGATAACTATGACCATTGACATGCACTAGCCTAGCCCCAGCGACCTCAATACAAAGGACTGGATGGAATATTTTAAAAAGTGTCTTCACAAATCTCCAACACTCTGGCTCACTAGGAAATGAGGTCCTATGCCCAAAATTCCAAATGTCCTTTTAACTTGAAAACTACCAATACATGACGTCTCAAGGTGGAACAGAACATTGTGAGATGTGGATAGCAAAAATGCAGTGTTAATTAAACACGTGTGAATGAAACAAAACACAACTTTTTGTGTAATGTAGGACCTTTGATATCTCACTTTTACATGATGGTTCTTTATCGCTCCATTGTCCACTTTCATCACAGAAGATCTGAGCTGGACCGTCTAGTATATATGAACGGTCTCTGCAGCTGAACTGGAGCACACTGCCAGTGGTCGGCTGGTCTATGTCCCCATTAACCATGACATTGTCAGACACAGTCAACGGCTGGCACGAAATCGCTAAGAGAAAAAAAAGTGCTTTAATTTGGTTACTGGTTATATTTGAGTATACATTTTGAAAGGTGCAATGTGTAACTTTTCTGGTGGAGGGTCTGTCAAATGCTTTTCTCCATGGAGATATTAATATTTTGTCTGGAATGTTTCACAGTGTGGTATTAAATCTTTCTATCTTCAGGGAAATAAAGCCAGACCAAGTTGCAGGTCAGATCTTTTTCTAGGTATTTTTGAGCTTATGAAACCACCTGTGATTTAGCATAATCATTACCAATAGTCATAATATTTAAAGTACATTTGTTTACCAGACTTTACCAGACTTTGTCCTTGCACTGTGTATTTTAGTTTTTTCTCTTACGTTCACACACTGGTAGATGGCCGTCCCAACCTCCTTGAAGACAGTCACGAGTGCTTGTTATACTGGTCATTTGGTAACTGTGAAAGACAAGCACATAATTTAACTGTAAAGGACTTCAACCCCACAACCAGTGTAACTTCATGGGAATCAAATGTTACAAAAAACAGCAGCCTGTAAAGTAGGGGTGGGTAATACTGACAAAAAAATCTGCCCTGGTTTAGTCCTTTGTTAGTACTTGTTTTGTCCTGGTTCAGTATGGTATGATTTTATTTTTAGTCCTGGTTTAGTCATGGTTTAGTCTTGTTTAATCCTGATTAAGTCCTGGTTTAGTCCTGGTTCAAACCTGGTTCAGTCCTGGACACATCTACAACCTGTCCAGTTTAGATTTGGTTAAGTCCTGGTTTTAGTCCAGGTTAGTCCTGGTTTGGTATGGTATGATTTTATTTTTAGTCCTGGTTTAATTATGGCTTAGTTCAGGTTCATGGTTCAGGTACAACCTGTCCAGTTTAGATTTGGTTCAGTCCTGGTTCAGTCCTGTTTGAGTCCTGTTTGAGTCCTGTTTGAGTCCTGTTTCAGTCCTGGTTCAGTCCTGGTTCAGTCCTGGTTCAGTTCTGTTTCATTCCTGTTTCAGTCCTTGTTCAGTCCTGGTTCAGTCCTGGTTCAGTCCTGTTTGAGTCCTGTTTGAGTCCTGGTTCAGTCCTGGTTCAGTCCTGGTTCAGTTCTGTTTCAGTCCTGGTTCAGTCCTGGTTCAGTCCCGTTTGAATCCTGGTTCAGTCCTGTTTGAATCCTGGTCCAGTCCTGGTTTAGCTGCTTGTTTCCTGTGAATGTTGGTTAATCCGCTTGTCTTGTTATTGACCAATGTCTGTTTCACTGTTTGATTTTCCAACTTTCTGTTGGTTAAATCAATGATCTTGGTGCCTAAAAATACACTGAATTAAATATTATCTGAATGAGGTTATTCTGTACTGAATGAGGTTATTCTGTACTGTGAAAATCGATCAAATATATAAGTATAATAATATATAAGTGCCCAGAAAAGATCCAGAATAGACACTTCTCCAATACTTCACACAGATGTGAGTCAGTGGTAATGAAGAGTGCATATACCTGCCATTCCTCTGAGCCATGAGGGAGGTTAATGTAAACTCTGTGATGTGCAATGTATTTGGTTCAAATTTGTTAGTAGCCTATAATAAAATGTAATTATTAACTTTTTAATGTTGATAATAATGTTAGTATTTTTCTAATTATGATCCATGTATTTTAATTCATAAGATTGGTGAAAAGTTAATCATGTATAATATTGGGGTCTCTTTGTTAGTGTATTGTTTTCCACTGCTGTGATTGAATGATTATTCTCAAGGGGGCAGTTCCTTAACTTATATAAGGGGAGCGAAAGGGGCTGGCCTCATACCTGAGGAAAGTCAGAGGGACCTAGATGTTGTGTTAATAAAAGAAAACCAAGAGTGAGACAGTGTGCGGGAGTCTTCTTGAAAAGGTTTTCAGTCTGGTCAGTGGTGAATCTACCTGTGGGCATGATTGACAGGTGGATTAGCCAATCAGAGGCATACATTGTCTGTCTGTATCCAAACAAATACGGCTACTTACAAAAAAAAGGATAAAAATATCTCAGGAGACTGAAAAGTATTGCTTATTATCACTAACTATCTCTATAAAACTATCTGAGGAGGGACAAATTTGTTTAAATCTGTCTCAATGCGTGATGGAGGGCGTGGGGACCAGACGGAAAGATCCCTCTGGTTGTCCAATGAGGTTCATCTGACATTCTGATAATTAATTTACATAGATTCTTTATTTAGACCAACGTTTCATTTGTTCTCATAGCTGACAGTTTGGACTGGTCATAGTGGTCTCCATCAGAGTGGTCACGTGATGTTATTGTGACGTGTCCACCGTGTGATTCTTCAGGACAGTGTCCCAGGTGTGTGTCAGTGCAACTGTCCCATCGTCCTGGTTTACTCTGTCACACCTGGGTTTAGACCTGGTTGAGTCCTGGTTCAGTGGTGATTTAGTCCTGGTTTAGTCCTGATTATGTCCTTGTTTAATTCTGTTTTAGTCCTGGTTCAGTTCTGGTTTGGTATGGTATGATTTTAATTTTAGTCCTAGCTTAGTCTTGGTTCAATTCAGGTTTAGTCCTGTTTTAGTTCTGGTTTAGTTCTGGTTTGGTATGGTATGATTATAATGTTAGTCCTGGTTTAGTCTTGGTTTAGTCCTGAGTTAGTCCTGGTTCAGTCCTGGTTTAGTCCTGATTTAGTCCTCGGTTCAGTCCTGGTTTAGTCTTGGTTAGTCTTGGTTTAGTCCTGATTTAGTCCTCGGTTCAGTCCTGGTTTAGTCTTGGTTAGTCTTGGTTTAGTCCTGGTTTAGTCCTTGGTTCAGTCGTAGTTTAGTCTTGGTTTAGTCTTGGTTCAGTCCTGGTTTAGTCCTGGTTTAGTCCAGGTTCAGTCCTGGGTTAGTCCTGGGTTAGTCCTGGTTTAGTCCTAGGTTAGTCCTGGTTTAGTCCTCCATTCAGTTGTGGTTTAGTCTTGGTTTAGTCATGGTTTAGTCCTGGTTTAGTCCTGGTTTAGTCCAGGTTCAGTCCTGGTTTAGTCCTGGTTTAGTCCAGGTTCAGTCCTGGTTTAGTCCAGGTTTAGTCCTGGGATACTGTCCTGAAGCAATCGAAGTGCAGCGGTAGGAAGACAGTGCCAAAACCAGTTTAAATCATAATAATATCATGTGAGGACTCAGAGGAAGACCGCGAGTTTAAATGGTCCTGGTTTGTGATGAAAACGACCTAAACCTTGGTCTAAAAAATAATCTATTAAAAATAGATAAAATGGCCATATCATTCTAGACTTGGACCAAAAGTGCACTAAAGTTTGTTCTTACCCCCTGTGGCAAGTGTACTGAACTTGGGATCCAAAAACATAGTCATCTCCTGAGACCAGTGAGAAATCGGCAAACTGGACGTCACCAGGATGGCCACAGGAAACCGCTTCAAACACACAAAGACAAAACACATTAAAGGTTTCAAAAATTAGTAAAACTCAAGTAAAAGAAAGAAAGAGTGACTTTGTAGACACACTTTATGATTTATGATTTGAGGTAAATGTAATTAAAAGCACAGAACATTCATTAATGGACAAGATCTGACATTTTCTAAAAGGATAAAGCTCAAAAATGTGAAAAACTAAGGCTGTGGTTTCACTTAACAAAGACCACATCAAAACTGGGACTGCACTGGGACTAAAGCAGGACTAAATCAGGACTAAAGCAGGACTAAAGCAGAACTAAACCAGGACTAAACCAGGACTAAAGCAGAACTAAACCAGGACTAAAGCAGGACTAAACCAGAACTAAGCCAGGACTAAAGTAGGACTAAACCAGAACTAAAGTAGGACTAAACCAGGACTAAAACAGGAATAAACCAGAACTAAGTAGGACTAAACCAGGACTAAAACAGGAATAAAACAGGACTAAAGTAGGACTAAAGCAGGACAAAGCAGAACTAAAGCAGAACTAAACCAGGACTAAACCAGGACTAAACCATGACTAAACCAGGACTAAACCAGGACTAAAGTAGGACTAAAGTAGGACTAAACCAGGACTAAAACAGGATTAAACCAGGACCAAAGTAGGACTAAACTAGGGCTAGAATGGGATCAAACCAAATCTATATTAAACCAGGACAAGAATGAAGTTAATAATATCTGATGGAGCAGTGCAAGAAACTCAAGTGTTCATATCATTAAATATTCCCAACGTACTATTTTTGTCACTTGTGACTTTAAAATGGACATAGTTCCAAATAGGAAATGAGCACGCTTCTGGCTCCATCGGCTCCAGTTGACTTTACAGTGAAAAACGTCACACTCTACATGATCCTGGTGTTTTTATTTCACTATTTTGTCAGTAAATAAATACCTACTCCTGATATGGAACTGCTAGCCTCTGTGAGCTTCATTTGACTGGAGCTGAACGCTATGGGTGATTCCACACTCTCTTAGTCCACTTTTTTATACAGGCTATGATGGAATGTAGTAAAACAAAAAATAAACTCAAAATAACCCAATTTTTACAAGTGCCACCCTTTGCTTTGACCACGGGGTGCAGTTTATTGTCGGCATTTCTTGACCCTGACATGGCACAGCTGTGAAGTGAAAACCATTTCAGGCATCAAGAAATTCCCTGAGAGAAGGTCAAGAGTTTGTAGTGCTGTCAACAAAGCAAAGGGTGGATACTGTGAGGGTCTGAATATAAAACTGAATAAAACATTTAGTCATTTAACTTTTGTTCTTCACTACATAATTCCATATAACTTGTATCATATTTAATCTTCCTCTGTATTCTTTTTCTGTATGTACTGTATTTTTCGAACTATAAGTCACAATTAAAATCCTTAAAAAATCGACAGTGCGCCTTATGTCTTAATTCTGGTTGTGCTTACTGACCTCGAACGGATTTTATGTGGTACACAGCGCTCAAAAATCTGTCAAAATATTTTAGTACTTCTTTGGTAAACTACGAAGTGATGGATTGTCGAACAGCACAGCTAGCTTTTAAGTTTTGTTTCTGTAAAACGTAAACAAATGTGGCAAAGCTGCATTAAACACATTATTATTCAATGTATATTTAAGTCATCCTGGTTGGAAATAAAAAACAAACTTATATGATCCACCCACATTCACATTCATAACACGTTCACCAAGACAGGGAGGCAACGCCGGGCGAGTTACGCCACAATCTGCCAATGGATCACGGACGCCTGGGCTAAGGATCAATCTCAAGTGTTGTCTGTTTGTTTCACTTAATGTGCCTTATAATCTGGTGCACTTTATGTATGAAAATAGACAAGAGAATTCAACATTATTGATACTGCACATTATAATCCAGTGCACCTTATAGTCTGAAAAATACTACTTTTTTTGGACTATAAGGAGAAAAATAGTAACCTTATAATCGACTTTCTATAAAAGCTTACCACTTTCTAAAATATAGAGAGAGGTAAGAGTAGCAGCCAAAACTTGCCCTGTGCAAGGTCTGCTATGGCTGCAGCGTGTGTGGTGTCTCGGACGTGTCTTCCATAAAAAGAGTCCAAATACTGTGTTCCTCAATATTTATTGGCGTACCTTCTAGCCATCCAAAAATACACAGATTCAGCACTCAATAGATCACGCTCAAAAGACTGTATACCTTCACGGTGCAACACTTGTGTGCACATTTTCCTCCCCTTTTATAGGGCAAGTACTTGCATAAATGACAAATAGCGCCTCACAGTGGCAGGAGGTACAGACATGTAATAAGGCTCCAACACTAAGCTTGAAGAAAAAAATACATTGACAAAGTGGTTGTGTCCAAACTGACTGGTGTTGTATAGAAGTAGTAAAAGTATGGTGTTGGAAAATTACTCAGAGAAGTAGAATAGGGTATTTGAGTAAAATACTGCAATAAAGTAAAATACTGCAATAGACCCTTAAGGAAAAGGGAATCATATAAAATACTAGTATAGATTTCACAACATGTTTCTACTCACGACTGCAGTTGTCTCCATGCTTATGCCACCCGTCTTCGGTGCAGATGAGTTTGAAGAAGCCCCTGAAGCCAACTTTACAGTGCACTCTCACGGTGTCTCCCTTGGCATAACGCTGCTTCAAACGACTTAAGTCAAAATTGTCATCAAAATAATCACGTCGTTTAAAATTCTCCACTGTACAGTCTAGAGGTAAATGGCAAAGACGAAGCAAGGAAGGTTAGAAAATTTGTACAGAACAATTCAAACATAAAGTAATTCAAAGTGTTTTACAGAATAAGAAAAATACTGAAATCACAATACAAACAAATCAAAACATAAATAATCATGAAATTCATATTAAAAGAGAAGAGAGAAGAGTGCGAAAATCAAATGATTGCTTTAGATTTTGCTTGACTTGGCTCGATTTGTAATTTTTCTACCAAACATTACGATTTGCAATGTATGTTTTAGTAATAGGATTCTGTTCAGAGTTTACGAAATGGAGGCAGCTGGAGGCAAAAGTGAACTGGAATGTAATGGGATTTCGATGGGAAAACCTGGATTAACCTTAGAATATCGCAAAATATGAAAAGTCAATGAAAATTTGGAGAATAAAAATGTCAGAGCCTGGTTTAAAAACATTTTACAGTCAATTGTGTTTTACGTTATTTGGAAAACTCCAGATTTATAGGTTTTACTGGACAAATTCTCACAGAAAAATTGAGCCCACTACAGTTTATGCATTTCATCTTAAATTACAGTTTTTGTGAAGCTCAAATAGCATTTTGAGGTTAGAGAATAGTATTTTTCCATCCTTCTTAACAGAGAAGTAAATTAATTAATATGGTGCATAGAAGTAGTAAAAGTATGGTGTTGGAAAAGGATTCAGAGAAGTAGAATTGTGTAAAAATACTACAATAAACTAAAGTACCATTTAAAAACATAAGGAAAAACACATTTGTAGTTGTCTCCACGCTTAAACCACTGTTAAACCACCATGAAGAGAAGTAAATTCATAAATATGGGTAGCTTGGAAATTCAAAAGTGTTGTTTATTTTTTATTCTAATGTTACAAAACCATTAACATTTACATCTGTTAATCAGTTAATCCTTGAAAATACATTATGTCTGCTTCACTTTGCCTCCAGTTGCCTCTTTTCTAAAGTTTTGAACATTCTGATAACAGGAGATTTTAAAGCATCTTCATCATAATTCATAATTTTGGGGGTCATCTTGGGTACTTTTTCTTTGTACTATGATAGATTTGAGCTGAAAAGAGTTGAATAAATAACTTTTATGATTCAATACTGTGATGTGCCAAGTTATACCCTTATTTGGAAGTTTACAGCATACGCATTTTGAGAAAATTTATAAACTATACACGCAATATTCCAACATTAACAATTATGGCAATATTTAATAATAATATTTTGTTTACTCTGTAACACTTTGTAACAACTACATGGTAAAAAGCATGAAGAATGATTTAAATCTTAATGAACTAATTGTTTATTTAGAACTGTGTTTCGTCTAGTGAGCAGCCTTAGGTGGTTCTTGGGCAGCTCTTCTGTTTGCTGTTTGTGGGTTTTCCTAATTTACAGCTCATATTATCCACTTTTCTGTCCTTTGTGTGTTTAGAACTACAGCGGAAATTATGCAGTCCACTTTTAGACCTGGTTTAGATCTCATGGCACTCAGAAAACTAAATATTTTCTTAGTGTGAAAAGTTTGAGAGCCACTTTTTTTTTCAGGTGAGCCTTTTGTATATGTATTTAGTGGCGGTCGTCTTTCTTCATTGTAAGTATATAAATAGTATAAATAAGTATATAGATGGTGTAGTTATTATAAAGTGTTACCCACTCCGTTATCGGCTTATTCAAATATTACTGACATATAAAAAAGAGCAAATATTAGTTATTTTTGTCTTACCTTGAGCATACACAATGGTCAGTAAATACATCCATAACAGGAGCCCCCAGACGTGGTTTAACACATGCATTTTCTCGTCATCAAAAACAAGGACTGAAATGTCTCAAAGCAGACGCCTCGACTGGACTCTGCAAAAATAAACCGAGGGATGGGTAATTGCTCAATTTTTTTTTTTTACGCAATGCTCCACTCATTCAAATAGACAGGAAGCAGAGAAGTGGACCAAAGCAGAATTAGCAGAGATGTTAGTGCAGAACTTCATTTTTTGGTTTATTTTGGTTTAGTTTTTTTTTTCAATAAAATGTAGCTTCTTAAATGCATTTTGATAGGCATTACCGTAAATGTAAAACTATATTTGCATAGTTTTGAAATAGCTACAGTCAGACGACTATTCCAGTAAGGGTTTGTTTGTGTTCGAGTAATGATTGTCAAAAATCCATTAGATAAATAAACTGCAGAACTTTAAAATCTGCGCAGAGATAAAGTGATGGGTAGAGTAGCCAAAATTGTACTCAAGTACTCAAACTAATATTACTCAAGTAGTGGTCTAAATAGGAGTAAAAAAAAGCATTTGAGGGAAACTTATATTCAAGTAAGTAATTTAAAGAGTTACTGTAACATCTGATTTATAATTATTATAAGCTAATTTAATTAAAGTTTGGTATTTTCAAAGATAAATAAAAATGAGAAAAACTAAATCATATCTGAAGGAGCAGTGCAAGAAACACAAATGTTCAAACTTCATGTCAACATAACGGTTTTGTTACTTGTAGAGTTACTCACAGTGGGAAGAGGAACCAAAACTGTGATACTTAAAAATATATATTACTGAAGTAGGAGTAAAACTACGCTGCTAGAAAAGTACTTTGAAAAGTGCAATTTCTTGAAAAAGTTACTCATGTAAAAGTAATTGAGTACTATCTACCTGTGGCAGCATCAAACATACTTACCTTATACTTATTCACCTAGCCTAGTCATAGTGTTTTTATTTCTAAACAGTATCTCAAAAACATGCATTCTCACTACATGTGGGCCCACTTCTCCATCTGAAAAGATACTTTGTGCACATTTAAACATATAGAAAAAAAACTCTGGAGATAATGCAATATTGAAAGCACAAAATGCACTAGTCTCTTAATTTCCAGTACATGTTATTCTCAGTTAGATAACATCCGATGAAGCAATGTGTAAAAACATGCCCCAGTCTAAAATAAACAAAAACAGAGCCAATTACAGAGGAATGTCTGCCAGACTAAAATGTAAGATCCTGATTCCTGATGTCCGCAGTGGTTGGGAAAACATGCAAATTATTATTATTATTATTATTATTATTATTGTTATTATTATTATTGATTTTATTTATTTATTTATCTATTTATTAATTTTTTGTCATCATCACTATAATTAAATCAAGAAAATAATAATATCTATATGTAATTATTGAGAATATATTACTCCATTTGCTAAACAGATTTATTTGGCTAGAACTCGACTTAAAAGGTACACAAAAGCCCACTTTACTTACTTGATACAAAAATGTCAGGCTAGCCTCTCGTTTCACTTGAATCTCTGTCATCTCAAATATTAGCCAGCAATGACTAAACTAAACTTTAAAAATGTTTGTATGTTTTGGGGTTGTACATCAGAAGATGGCGCCATTACATTTCCAAATAGTAAATATACAAAAAGGAAGCAGGGGGCGCTATGCTTCAGGAAACAAGCGGAAGTAGGCTCATGTCATTAGGTAATAGTTAACAGTGACCTGTCCGAGGTAAAAAAGAGATATTTTAACTTATTGTATTATTCAAGTGTGGTCTGATTAACGGTTCTATCACTGATTAATTTGTTGTCTTGTCTGTCTTTGTGTTTTCAGCGGGAAAACATTGTAGGACTTCACGTTTGACTGGCAAAGCTAACCACTAAGCTAGCACGCAAGCTAACAGAGCTAAGTTTGACTGTAAACAATGCTGGGTCGTATGCTCTACTCGCTCTTGAACAACCTCCAGGTAGGAATGTCACGATTAGTAGGTTAATCGAGAATACTTGTTTTTCAGGCTACAATATTATAGTAAGAGCAAAAAAATAATAATGATCGTGACTGTTATAGAGGCAAAACAAACTGCAGAAGTCTTTTCCATTCAATACATTTCCAGACACTCCTGGTTGTGAGCTCTGTGTTCCTGTGTTCCCCGTCCCAGCAGATTTATCCAAAAACTGTCCCAGATGTCCCTACTATTGACCAATTTGATCCCCGCCAATAGTAAAGAGGGCATACATTGTCATTTGATTAAATCCAGGAAAATGTGCTTGAAAATGACCAGAACACAAACAAAATGTGCTCTGTTGCACTGACTTCAATATTATATATATACATATATACATATATATATATATATATATATATACAGACTGACTCACATTTTAGTCATGTATTAGTCATGAGTGGACCCAGTGCATAAAATTGTACTTAATTACACACTTTTTTCACATTTAAAGTGCTGTTTATCTGGTTGTTTATGTCATGTAACTTTATCGCTCAGAAAGTTTGATTTCATAAACCAGGGCTCATATTGTAAGAGGTGGTAGAGTAGCCAAAAATTGTACTGAAGTAAGAGTAATGTTACTTCAAAATAATATGTGTAAAATCCCTCAGTCGTCCAGGTAGAATCCATGACAAAGGAGAAATTCAGTTTGTCAACTGGACAAATGTTTTTTTTTGTTTGAATGTGTTTCGCAGCTCATCCAAAGTGCTTCTTCAGTTCTGGGAAGCAGCTTGGATGAGCTGCGAAACACATTCAACCAAAATCAATTTTGCCCAGTTGACAAACTGAATTTCTCCTTTGCCACTTCAAAATCATATTACTCAAGTATAAGTACACAGTAGTGGTCCAAGAAAGAGTAAAAACTGAGAAAAATGACTACTCAAGTAAGAATAACTTTCAGAGTAACTGTCGGGATGTAACATCTGATGATTTATAATTTGAAGTTAATGTAGTTTGAAAGACAAACAACAAAACATGCAAAATCTGGTATTTTCTGGTAGGAGCTGTGCAAGAAATACAGATGTTCAGATTGTCAACATAAAAATGTTGTCTCTTGTAGACTTACTCACAGTAGAAAGAAAAGGCAACTGTTTACTCAAGTAAGAGTACTATTACTTCAATAAATAGTAAATATAACTGAGTATTATCCACATCTGCATACTTTAACATATTCAATAATGTAAATGAAGAAAATGAAGGATTTTACTGTTGTTTGGTCATGAATCATCATTGAATTGTGGTGATTTTTTTTCCTCACAATAACTGCAAAGCTTACATTTGTTATTGTGACACCTGCAGGTGGTGGAAAAGTTGGCAGAGTCTCGTCCCATTCGCAGAGCTGCTCAGATCACGGCCTATGCCATCACCAAAGCCCAGATCGCGGGGCAGGATGCGACCAGGCGGGTGCTCCGGTCCGAGACGCTGAAGCAGGTGCGACAGGAGGCCGGTCAGGTGCCACGGGACATTGGGCAGGTGGGCTCCCGTCTCAAGAGAGTGGGAGACACGTTCATAAACGAGGTGAAAGAGGGGCTAAAGGATGGTTCCAGGCACATCAAGAAATAAGGAGATCTATATGGACAAGTGACTGTGATTACATGCTGTCCTGTGGCAGTGTGACTGGACACAACAAAATCTATGTTTCACTGTTTGGGGGATACTAATTTATATAAAAGATTTATAATTTTAATAAAGGAAGGTGGAATCATGTCTCATGGTACTTGTTGTTCTTTGCATGTAAGATTAGGGTACTATATTTTTATAACTTAATTTCAAATGTAACTATTGTATTTTCACATGGGGTTTAGCTGATAAAATAGACTTATTTTATATTTTTACTGTGATACTGATATGAAGTTGTCTTAACCTTTTTTTTTAGGGTTAGGGTTAGTGTTAGTTTTTTTTTTTTTTTTTACTATTTCTGATGGTCCAAAGAGAGAGGAATAACTAAAAATAATTCTTATCCTGGTATCTGATCATAATCTCTAGGGTCTCAAGCATGTAAATTACCTTTTCCGATCTATACATTTTATATTTGTTGTTTAATTCAAAAATATGAAAGCATCTTTTTATGTTGTTCAAGACTAGGTCTACCAATACCATCAAAATATGTGCTGGTATAATTTAAGTATTAGGTTATTCATACTTTTTGCCCAAATTATTCATTTACTAAAATCTAGATTGTCTATCAAATGGCACATTAGCATTGAAACTATTTGTTCACTTACACCTGTTCACCTGTTGAATATTGATGTGAAGTTAATCAGGTTAAATTAACCAAGGGAGATACTAATGTACTAATGTATTGTATCATACTGTTTATCACTTTTGAAACTAACAAGTGACTCAAGACATGAGTTGCAATATATTTATTTCAAAGAGCTCACAGTAGTTTCCATAATACTTTTGCAGACGCACTGGCCTGGCAACTAAATATTAGTCAGATCAAATCATTTCAAAAAAGAAACAGAGAAGGCATTGATCTCTGACAGAATGAGTCAGTACATATACACTGATATGGCAGCTGAACTTCATATAAAAATATAGTATCTCTTAACATGGAAAAGATGCACATAATCAAGTTTTAAAGTCAAATCACTCACGTTACTTAAAGATGCGTTGAATATCTTTTCTGATGGAGGGAATGTCACCTGCTTTTCTCCATGAAAATGTTATTGCTTTGTTTATAATGTTTCACAGTGTAATATTAAACCTTTCTATCTTCATGGAGATCAAACTAGACCAAGTTACAGATCAGATCTGTGGAGAGGGGAACCCACTCACAGTCAGAATGTCTGTTTTTCTGTTATTGTATAAATGTAAAGTAGAGTTGTTTAATGTCATACTGTGGAACGTTCCAGGCAGAGCAATGACCGCTCCATAGAAACAAGCAGGTGGCAGACCCTCCACCAGAAAAGTTACACAGTGCACCTTTAAATCATAAGAAAACTGCATTACAATACATTAACGTCGTATTGATTCTTTGAAAGAAATGACAAGAATTCGCCTCAAATCTCAGCTGAATGTCTGGTTGGAAAATGTGTAGGCTTCCGCGCTGAACAATTCTGGCACAAGCTGTGTTTTAAATGTGTTAATTTGGTTTAAATGGTTTCTAAAGAGTAGTAATGTCCAATGTGGTCGGCCAGCCAGCACCACACTGTAATCACTACTGTATTAGAAACTATGAAACTGTAATACTTGGAACCTCAACTTTCTATGAAGGAAATAATGGTTGGATTTTAAAGTTTTTTGGCAAATGTGGAAAAATAGGTTAGAAGATAGGGTATTGCTTTACTAGAACTGCATTACTGATACTTTGCAGTGATATCACACTGAGGGGGAGTGCATGTATGTCTATGGTGGAATGTTCATCTGTTACCATGGTGACACAATGCTCACATTAGTTATGAGCTGTAAGTTTTAAGATAGTCTGAAAACTCAAGAAAAAAACAACAAAACAAATGGATTTAAAGAGCACATTTTCAGGAGCCTGTGATCACTACGAGCGTTCATGGAGTTTGATTTTCAACAAAAAGATAAGAGTGACTAACTGAAAAACTGTTGGCAAACGCAAGCTAGATTGCGACTGTGATGTTATTTGAGAGGGACTTGTTTTACAGCACAAAATAAGCTCGCCTGCTGTAGTTCTAGTCAAGTCAGCTCTTTATGGTCAGACTGTGTCAAAACAAAGCTCAGATTAAAGTCTAACTTGAGTAACAGAGCCTCAGACAGAGCAGTGCCACCAGTTAGCATCACACCCTCGAGGAATGTTGACGGCATGAGGTGCAAAGTATCAGAAGCGATCTTTAAAATGTGGATGGGGTCTAACGTAGTAATGTAGAGGAGGGTTAACCACTCTGCCATTGTGCACGCAGCTTAGTATTACATAAACGGATTTTTTTATGATGCATTTTTAAAGGTGACTGTGTAACGTTTCTGGTGGAGGGTCCACCATTTTGCCATGATTATTCTATAGTGTGGAAATAAACTTGGTAATCTCAATGGAGACAGGTTAACGGTCAGATCTATGGAGAAGCAAGCCTATGCATGTTAAGAATTCATGTTTTTTAAGGGGATTTTGAGCTATAAAACGCCTGTAATTGGAGAGAACATTCCAGACAAGCAAGAAGCGGACCCTCCACCTTTGAAGTTACATAATGCACCTGTAGGATAAAACTAATTCCGGTTATGAAGTCAGTTTAAGTTGAAGCGGACGTGAGGAAAATGTAACAAGCGGGAGCATACGCACTGATATGGCTGCCCGCTGTCTGTAAACAAAAAAAAATCCACAACTCTCCACTTCAAATTCACCCAAACCGACCAGGAATTATTTACAATGCAGTGTTTCCCAGGGACTGAGATTATGGTGGCACAAACAACCGTTATTTGAATAATGTGAAGCTCAACAGTCATCGCCCACCTCTTCATTCCCATTTGTTTTTCCCATAGACTTTCGGAAAAACAAATTTAAAAGCTTGAAAGCTTGCTCACCTCAAATCAGCTCTGTGGAAACAGTACAAAATTGGGTCTGTCACGTTAAATACTACATAATAATAAGATAAATTCAAGTTACTTTTGTATGATTTTGATAATATAACAAGTAAAAAGTATAATTTGTCATTTTTAGATTTGTCGTTTTAGACTATGGGAGGACCACCGTAGTCTCCTGTATTAAAGGGAAACACTGCATTGTTTATCAGAATAAATTACGCCAGATAACGTTGTGAATCATTAAAATTATTGTGTGTTCTGATGATTTTGAAGTTAAAGATGAGGTGAGGTACAGATGTCGGTGGTTGCAGATTTGAGGAGGATCTCCGAAGGTTACATCTTGTTGCAGATTCCAGTGACGAGCAGAGCCAGCAGCAGCAGCCACACGGACGACATAGCTTCAAAAAAGACAAAGACAAATATTTAAGATGCTGTATGTGACTTTTCTTACGTCAGCCACTTTCTCGTCTCCATGGAAATGTAATTGCTTTGCCTGGAATGTTCCACAGTATGGCATTAAACCTCTATTTTGACAAAGACAAAAAGGTGACACGACAAGGCCATGTAACAGTGCAGATCAGAAGAGAGAGAAGAATGCATGTTTTTCAAGGTGTTTCAATAAAGGAAAGATAGACAAATTTAATTTAATGGAACCAGTGTTGTAACATGGTCTGGTTTGGTTTCCATGAAGATAGAAAGGTTTAATGCCATACTATGAATCATTCCAGACAAAGCAATAACATCTCCATGGAGAAAAGCATTTGACAGACCCACCGCCAGAAAAGTTACACAATGCATCTTTAAGAACGCTGTACTCTGACTCTGACATTTTAAAGCAGGAATGCAGTATTCTGTAGCTAAATACGTTTTTAAGTTGTAGTAGTGTGCTCCCTAGTGGTCACTGTGCAGCACTGCGCCTTGACTCCAGCACTTTGTTTAAATTCTAGTAAATCTGCTTACTTACTACAGAGAATCTACCTTTTATGTGATTTGACATTTAAAGGTCCTTTATTACACAAAATTGACTCTTGTGAGCTTTAAGTCAGGTTAGATCATTGTTACCTCCTTAAAACATACCCAGAGGTGTGTTTTGTTTCATTCACACATGTTTGAGTAATATTTTATTGTTAATCTGCTCAAAATACTCTGTTCCACAATGTGATGTCATGAAGCGGTAGTTTTCAGGTTCATTTGTTAAGTAGAGATCGATAATTCCAAGGTTGAAATCATCCAAATGATTCTAGTGAAGGTGGACGAAGTTTAAAAACACTGTGATGTCTAAGTAGAAGAGTCTAAATCTGCAGGGTTTGTGTGTTAAACATGTGTGAATGAAACAATACACGACTCCAGGTACACTACCGGACAAAAGTTTTAGAACAGCACACATTTTTTTACTATTTACTGTTGACCAAAATGTATTATAAACTTTTGATTCATTAAAGTGTCCACCTTTGCAGATATGTGTATGCCGGGATGTAATACTAACCGAAATATCATGATATTGTATTGTCAAAGTTCTTAGAATAATACCGTGGACCATCTTAATATATTGAATGACAAGTCTCTTTGGTTAAATGAAGAGTTATGTTGCAGCAATAGCTAAACAAAAGACAGAGGGAACTACATAGACCATGATCCTTTGCTCCATATCAGTGCAGACTACAAGAAGAAATAACAGTTCTAACAATTTTAAGTCTTATTTCTTTGGATTAAATCTTGTCAAGGCATTTTAAGAGGAAAAAGTACAATATTGACAGAGGCAGTTTTGTTAGTCTCCTCAAAATATCTCAATAAATATCATGCCGTGAGATGTATATTGTGAAAATATTGTACCAAGAGATTTGGATATTGTTAGATCCCTAATCATGAGCCTCCCCACCATATCATGAGCTTTCCCACAATATCGCAATAAATATCGTACCGTGAGGTTCATACCATGACGATATCGTACTGTGAGACTTGGATATTGTTACAACCCCAGATATAACAGCTGAACACACTCGTGGCTCATTCTTTTTACAACTAAAATCAAATATTGTTCAGACGTAGCCTCGTGTGAGAACAGCAAATGGATCACCCAAGAATGTGTTGGTAATGTTTTTACTTTTTAATAGTAATATGTGATTGGATGACTGGATTTTGATTTATAAAATGACCAAAACTTTTAATTCTGTGGGTGGACAGATTGTTTTGAAGATATGACAAAAAGGTAAACTTCAAAATAAGCTATCATGTATTAGGGAAGGATACACTCCTGGTCAAAAGTTTTAGAACACCACACTTTTTCCAGTTTTTTACTGTTTTCTGGTTGACCAAAACATATTCTAAACTTTCATGAAAGTGTCCACTTTTGGTAGATATAACAGCTGAACACACTCGTGGCTCGTTCTTTTTACAACTGAAATCAAATATTGTTCAGAAAGTTCTTCCCAAGTCTGTTGCAGAAGTTTCCATAAATGTGTGGCACTTGTAGGTTGCTTCACTCTTCTGTCCAGTTCATCCCAAACCAGCTCGATGAGGTTTAAGTCTGGACACTGTGCTGCTGGACACTCCATGTTTTCAAGCTTTACCATCTTGTTCTTTTTTCCTGAGGTAGTTTTGGCAAAGTTTGGACTTTTGTTTTGTTCTTTTAACTTTTAACTTTTACCTCTGGCTGTTCCGTTCTTACCTTTGTACCATTTCAAGCTCTTCATGCAATAAATAACTGGAATAATTAGGGTGTTTTAAAACTTTGGACTAGTAGTGTACGTTTGTACGGAAGCCGAGAGGGGTCACAACAAATGCAAATGCCACAAAAAATACAAATTCAACAACACAACAAAAAGCCACAACAAACCAAAAAAAACCACAACATACCAAAAAAAGCCACAACGGAAATGACCTTGGGACTCTATTTTAATGCAACAAATACAAACACCACAACACAAACGCAAATGCTGCAACATATTAAAAAGCCACAACACATCAAAAAGCCACAACGGAAGTGACCGCGAGACTCTATTTTCCAACGGACCGATCAAGCGGCAAGTGAAGAAGACGAATTACAACGTGAAACAAATAATGATAAAACAATAAATTACTTTTACTTACGTTTCCAACTTCTCCGCTCCTTTACTTTTCACATTGTAGTTCTTCACGTCAACGGTCACTTCTGTTGTGGCTTTTTAATGTGTTGCGGCATTTGCATTTGTGTTGTGGCATTTGTATTTGTTGCAGTGTTTGCATTAAAATAAAGTCCCGCGGTCATTTCCGTTGTGACTTTTTTTGGTGTGTTGTGGCTTTTTGTTGTGTTGTCGCATTTGTATTTGTTGCAGCGTTTGCGTTTGTTGTGACCCCTCTCGGCTTCCGTACGTTTGTGATGAGGAAACAACATCACAACGTAGATCAGAAAATAGCATAAAATATGCCCTTTAAATGTCCTATATTGGGCTAACCTGACATTTTCAGGCGCTATAATGTGAATATTTGCAAAAGTGTAAGCTGTATTTGTGTACATTAGTTACCTGCACTGGAGGAGTTGCATTCCATGTCTTGGAGTGAGTCCATATATTCCTGTCCCAGCCAATCCTGGTAGGTTTTCCTTTCTCCCACTGCCACTAAACGTACCGTGGAGTCTTTGAACATCAGGTCTGAGGAGCCGTAGGCTTTTGAGTCGAACATCTTAAAATCGGGGTTCGTATCGCTGCCAAAGTATTTCTAGGAAAAGCAAAGCAAGATCACATCAGGGTACAGGGATGCAGTAACTTACTTATAAATATAATAGTTCAGTTCCATCAGTATCTTTCCAAACTCATTTAAAGCTACTATTTGTAATTATCACCTGGACATACCACACAGACTTTGGTCAGAATGCATCTGTCCAAGGTGGAATCTGTGGACTAGTTTATTTCAGTAAAGTGCTTTTAAAACTCAAATGAAAAACTTGCCAAACCAAACATGCCCTCATTTATAGTGGTATTGCGATTTTAAAGGTGCATCGCTCAACTTTTATGGAGATGTTATTGCTTTGCCTGGAATGTTCCATGGTATGACATTAAACACATCTGTCTAGTGTTTATTCATTATGGGCGTTTCTATTGCTCAAGAAGTTGCGTTGCATCTCCACAGATCTGCCCTGTAATGTAGCCTATACCATGGAACATTCTAAACAAAGTAATAACATCTCCACGAAGACAAGCAGGTGGGTGACGAACCCTCCACCAGAAATGTTGCTCATTTTCTATGGAGACATATTTGCACGTGTGAGCTGATAATGAAGGGATGAGTATAGAGTTTCTTAAATGTGTGGCCAAATGAAGAAAAAATGAGAACTGTGCAAAGAGTGGAGTGTGCAGTGTTTTATTTTTCCCCCTTTTGTGACCTCAACCCTTCGGGACAACAGATGGAAATGAGTCTTTGGCGATAATCTGGTCTGTTTACATCCATATTGTATCCCGTCTGTCCATGAACATGCTCTGTCCCAGTTAAAGAAATATAAATAAATATCTTTAGTTATTTAGTTATATTTTTCCTTTAATCAACAGTGATCAATGATTATTTTATTTTCTCACTTTATGTTTTGTGAAGCTTAAATGTCCACTGCGTAACATTTCTAGTTACTTGCTTGTATCCATGGAAAGGTTATTGCTTTGTCTAGAATGTTCCACCTATTCAGGGATGCAGGTTACAGCACTACGCTACATTACACTTCAGATCTGTGGAGAGTCGCCCCTATTCATAGACGGAATTATGGTACTTTTAAGCAACAGAAACTCCCGTGATGAATAAATGCAAGCTGTGTATGTTTAAAGTCATACTATGGAACATCCCAGGCAAAGCAATAACATCTCCATGGAGACACGCAGGTAACGGAAAAGTTGCGCAGTGCTCCTGGTCACAATTTCATACAGCGCTTTTCCTCCTTCACGGGTCTCAAAGCGCTTTACAACAAGGAGCCACTCACCCATTCACACACACATTCATACACCAATGTACGCAGACACTGGGGGTAATGTGGTTTCAGTGTTTTGCCCAAGGACACAACGACAACATTCATCTGTGAGAGCTGAAATCGCAGCGCCAACCTGTGCGCAGTGGATGCTCTCCGAACCCTTTACCAACTGAGCTATATATACTGAGCTCCTTTGCCTGAGCAGCCAGTCCCTTCTACATTCTGATCAAATCAAGAAGGGACCAGACCATAGAAAATAAAAAGTCTTCATCCAAATTTTTGATGATCCAACCACAACACGTGTCTGTCAAATGCACATCTCCTCTCAAAAATTCTTATAACATTCAGAGCAAAATATATAACGCTTTTTTAAATATGAAGATTTTTCTTTTTAATGAGTCAACCATGTTTGAACAGAAGCATACGTCTCTCTGATTAGTAAATTTGTCTGTCAATCACACGGTCTGAAATCAGGGAGACACGGCTCCAGAGCCACTCGTATTTGTAAAGTTTTGTCAAAGGCTGTGGTTCTGAGGCTACGTTTGGGTATATGACGGTCTGAACAGAAGACGCAAAAGTGGCGTCGCGTCTTCACTTTTTATTCCGCGTTTAGACAAGTTTTCGGGAGGAAAGCTGAGTATGTTTGTACTTAAAGCAACAAGGGCGTCTCTGGACATACGGAAGTTTTCACGCCAGGCATTTTCATCAGCTACTCCTTCCACAAAGTTGTCCCATCGTCTGGTTCTCCAGGTCTCGTCCATATCCGTCTGACTCGCCTGTGACGACCTGGTGCATCCGGAATTTGACAGATGTGACTACAGATCCTTCTCTGTTCACTAATAGTATCTCTGCGGATTCTGTACATTTGTTGGGAGCCTCTTGTAAGTTGAAAATGATCTGACATGTTTGTTTCTGTGTACTGTATGTATATGACATGAACGCGTATATGACGTGAGCAGATCTGACCAGAGTGTCACATCTTGGGCAGTGTAGACGGAAACATTACAGCAGAGCGTATTCAACTTTTCCACTCTGGAGGGTGTTTTCAGATTTTTATGTTTTTAAGCCCCTAAAACGCCGTCACCATCTAAACGAAAGGCACTTCTGATAAAATATTCTGACGTTTTGATGTTCTCGTGTAAACAGGGCCTTGATGGTTAGGTAACTATCTCCTCACATGAGCCTGTTGTGTGTGTGCAGAGGCTGGTACCTGAGCGTAGTCCAACAGCCCATAAACACTGTGCACGCTGGTGTCAGGTCGGACCATCACGGAGTGGGAGGGGACTCGGGCCAGGTTGCAGTATTTAAACTGAGTCACTTCTGCTTTGGTGTTTTGAGTGCAGAGCAGCTGGAAGTCCGAGGAGCGCAGGTCTGAGGCCCAAGACTCATTGGAGTTACCTGAAGAAAAGAGGAACAGAAATATGGATTTAGCCTGGGAATATTCAGAGCAGACTGTGAAGAATACCTGTCCATGAAAACGTCCAAAACTGAGTTACTAACAGTGATGGAAGGACTAAGTAAAAGTAGTAAAGTACATGTAAGTATACATTTTAGGTATCTATCCTTAAACTGGATACTTTTAACTTTTACTTCACTACATTTGAGAGCAGGTATCTGCACTTTCTACTGCACTACATTTTAGAGCAAGACTGAAAAGTTAAAGTATTTTCTATTTCAGTTTTAAACCTGCTGAGGGGTTATATTTAGCATTTACAATTTGACCAAACACTCTCTTTAAGTACATTTTTAAACAGGTACTTTAACACTTCAGTACTTCAGTAGATTTTTTCATGTGACTTTTACTTTTACTTGAGTATTTCTTTGCTCTGGTGTCTGTACATTTAGTTAAGTAACAAAGGTGAGTACTTCTTCCACCACTGGTGCTAATAAATGAAATTAGCCAAGTCTCTAAAAGCTAAAGTTCATGTTTTAAGTGGAGTATGTTTGATGTAAAAAGACAAAAATTGCAATAAACTAAAGAATTATTCACTAATTTACTGGATTACTTTTTTTTTTTTTTTTTGCACTACAGAAAGTTACAGACATCTATTTTACAGGTTGTATTACAAAATAAAGAGATCATTTGTATTACCTGAGACATAAAGTACATTTGTGGTTTATTATTATTTTTGATTTAGAAAAATACCCACCATCTGTGTACTGGAAAACTGTTGTGTGTTTAACAAAAGCTACTTCTCCGTCTCCCTTCGCCAGACACCTGAGAAAGCACACAAATTAATATTATCATTATTTTCATTATTTTTTCTGCATTTAAAACCGACAACCCAAAGAGACTCATGTGAGGCTTGTTTTACCTTCTTTTTCTTCTTCTTTTTTTGTAATATTTAAAGGTGCACTGTGTAATTTTTTTGGTTGGGGGTCCATCACCTGTTTACTGTAAAATCCAGACTATTGAGCGCACCTGAATATAATCCCCGTCAACTAAATTTTAACCAAATTTTAAAACTGTACATATATAGTGTGACACGACCGGCTTTGAAGGTCTAGGCTGCAGGTGCTCTTACCTGTCGTTCCGTGGCGCTGCGCTGGTGGACTATTTAAGCGCTCCCTTCTCAGTTGTTCCCCCTTTGGCTCACACGCTCTTCCGGGCCTCTCCTTGTGGCCACTCTGTCCTTCAGCTCAGGTAACTTCCATTCGTACGCTCCCATGCACGTTATATCCAAATTTACAATCACGTCTCCTTTTAGTGCCGCTGTTTGGCCGCTGTTCTGCACCGCATCAGTCCCTCGCTCCGCCAAATCACGGAGCATCTAGTGTGCGCTTTCATCTCTGCCAATAAGGTAATGCATGCCCGATACTCCTCCACTCATTCATCCACGCCCAAATTCTTACCGGTGTGTCTCCTTAGTTCCACAGGTGAGCCCAGCGAGTCCCTTGTTCTATTGCGCTTGGCTGGGCGCCGCTGTGTCCCCTAAACCACAGCGGCAGGTAACAAAGCCCTGCTACAAAGTGCTACCTGTGCCAACCAGCCTTTCTAAATTGTGGTATGTTTATAGCGTGTGCCGGTCCACGTTGTTTGGACCACGTCTGGACGCAGTAATTCTGCCTAAAGTTGCCTTTGATTCAGCCTGGGATTGCGCACTGTCACTTCCAACCAGGGTATGTGTTTAGGCCAGAATCTTGTACTGCAGGCTCAGATTTTAATTCCAGCAATTAACTTTCTAGGTGTCGGCGGGGGCCTGCAGCGGCGTGAACACACCGCCTCTGCCGTTTTGCTCCACTGTTTTGTTTTACTTTTGCTTTGTTTTGTTTTACTCCAGTTTTGCTTTGCGTTACTTTTGCTTTACTTTTGTTTTGCTTTTGTTTTGTTTCAGTGCTGTTTTGTGTCTGGTTTTGCTGTTTTGCTCTGTTCTTTTTCAACATTTTGTACCGATTTCTCCCACTGTCGGGTTTTACTGTTTTGCCTATTTTTATGGATGTAGCTACTTTTAAACAACTTAAAACTGTCTTTTAAAATAGGAAAAAATAAAATAAAGATTGTGCAAATGATGGAACCTGGCTCTCTCCCTCATTGATATGCTTACCTGTGTGCCTTACATTTAGATTCTATTCTATACATATGGGGTGGCGTTGTTGTAACAATTTATTGTAAAATTTAACATTCCCCAAGTGTTAACCCTTCGTGTCGCCACAATAGGCTGAACATGAATATAAGCCGCAGGTGTCCAAGTCTTCAAGAACGTTTTCAAGTTCGGGCAAAGTTTTTGTCGTGTTTTTGCGTTGAGTCAGTTCATCACGCTGCCATCGCCAAAATTTCACCATCGACTCACTGATGCTGAGTTCATGTGTAGCAGCTCGATTTCCTCCTTTGACAACCAGATCAATTGCCGTTAACTTAAAAGCTGCATCATCTGCATTTCTTCGTGTGTTTTCCATGAGGAGAAAGTATGAAGTGCAAAATATCTGTTCAAAACACAATCAAACTGCATCTTCCTCAGCGCATGACCCCTGTCTCTGCCTGTGCTCTAATGCACATGTCTCCTGCAGAAAGAGCCTCTGTCCTGTTTGTATCATATCAGTGTCTTGTATGATTTCAGCAGATTTCAGATTATCTCGGGGGCGGGGATAGGTGTATGAATCAGGTATGAGTGCATGTTCGGATACTGAAGTTTGAGATGTTTCTTGTCATTTACGCATACGGGTAAGACACCCCCCCTCACTAATGTTCATTTAGCAGCATAACTTAGTTTATCACATGGCAATAAACTATTTGAATGCGCTGACAATATCACTAGCTAGTGTATTAACTTCATGTTCACTCTAGATCCATGTGTAACCGCACAGTATCCGCTGTGTTGCCAAACAATAGACCATATATATGAATGGACAATGTGCCAAACAGAGAATCCGTCCATACATTCGCTGGAGGCACAGATAGGTCATGTTTATCAAATTTAAAGCCAAAATCCCACAGTATCCCATTAACACGTGTTTAACGTTTGTTTTTTCATTGATCTGGTTTTCTTGTGTGTACCTGAACGCCCCGCCGTATCCGTCGTAAAGGTCTTTCCCCTTCTCACACTTGTTGTGGCCGCTCTGGTCTCCCACACACAGATCACACAGGCTGCTGGGGAGGCCCTTCTGATTGGCCCCTGGGACACAGCTCTTAGAGAAGAAATCACTCACCGCTACAGAAGAACACACAACACATGAGCTGAAGTAATCATAGTTCAGTCTTCAGATTCTAGATTCTATTCTGTGATGAGATGGTTTTCCCTATTGACTGCACTGTGCTTTGGTCAAGAAATATCCAAAAGGTAAAAGTAAAGGTCCAGAGTGTGGCCTTAAGGTCCTATATTACACAAAATTGACTCTTGTGAGCTTTAAGTCATCTTATAATATTGTTTCCTCATCAAAAACAGACCTGGAGTTGTGTTTTGTTTCATTCTCACATCTTTGAGTAATCCTGCTTTATTAGTCTGTCTACATCTCCAAAGGTCAGAATGCTCTGCTCCACCTTGTGTTGTCATGTAGTGGTAGTTTTCAAGTTAACAGCTACATTTTATCTTTTATTTAGTAGAGATTGGCAATTTCAGGGCTGAAATTATCTAAATGATTCTAGTGAAGGTGTAGGGAGTTTAAAAACTCAGTAGTGCACTTCCTGTATTACTGCATGACATCACAAAGTGGAGTGTTTTCTTTCTGAAAACTCAGCCTAAATCTCCATTTACACCTAACTGATGGAGCAGTTACATTAAATCTATCATCTATCTATCATCTATCTATCGAGTACCTATCTATTATACTTTATTATTTATCTTAATTTTTATTTTGACTTGTATATTTACTTACTTCAAACCTGTCTCTTGCTCTTTTTTGCTACTTATTTAGAGTTTATTATTACCACTTATAATTTTTTTACTCAGTTATTATATTATATTATGATGTATGAGCTACTGTGTACAAATAATTTCCCTTGTAGATCAATAAAATTTAAGTCTATCGATCGAGCTGCTGCATTCAGCACCATGGACAGCAGCTTGAATATGCATGTGTTGAAATAGTGATACTAAAAAGTGTCGGAATAGCAGTACTAAAAAGTGTTGGAAAACCGGCCGGTTTAAACCGGGTCTAAATAGATGCATGTTGTAATACTGGCATATGTAAATAGAGGCATGTCATATTGAAGGAATGTCAGAATATGCAGCAGACCCCCTCCAGGTATGTTTGTGACAAGGAAACAACATTTTATCACAGATCAGAAAACAGTGCATTATGGGCCCTTTAAGCGTGTCTATCTCCCTGGAGACAGGCAGGTGGAGCCACCAGGCCAAGTTATGTAAAGTTTTTTGCACTTGTTTTTTGCCTGTCATTACCTTGGGGTATGTGGCACTGCTGAGCGGAGATGAGGCCTCTCTCTATCAGAGCAGACACAGGGATGTTCCAGCCGGCCGTACGTCCATATCCCGTGTGACAGGAGCGCCGGTTTCGCAGGTCGTCAAGGTTACAATGTCAGTGCTGCTCTTCTTCACCACGGCAACGGCGTAGTAGATGGACCCATCAGTGTCATCTGAAGAGAGAGATTTTATATATTAAACTCCTGTCCTCTTGTAAACATGCATTTGCTCAACTTGCCATTAGTATTTCACGTGTTTTTTTAAAGGTCCTACTTAGGTTATTTCCTGCTCTGTGTTATAATGTTGTTTCTTGAGTTGTGTTTTGTTTCATTCACACATGTTTAACACACAAACGCTGCATATTTAGGTTAAGTTCTTCTCTCAAAAAGAAAACACCTTAAGATGTCATGGTAATACAAGAAGTGCTCCACTGTGTTTTTAAACTCCACACACCTTCACTAGACTCATTTGGATAATTTCAGCCCTGGAATTGCCAAACTCTACTGAACAAAATGTAAAAGGTAGCTGGTAACTTGAAAACTACTGCTTCATGACATCACATGTCTACATCACATGTAGACAGACCAGTAATAAATAGTTACTCAAACATGTGTGAATGAAACAAAACACACCTCCAGATGTTTTTAAGGAGGTAACAACATAACATGGCTTAAAGTTCACAAGAGTCCATCCATTCATTTTCTTCTGCTTATCTGGGGCCAGGTCACAGAGCAACACTCTAAGCAGGGAGTCCCAGACTTCCTTCACCCCGCACACTTCCTCCAGGGGGACCCCGAGGCCAGCCCAGAGACATAGTCCCTCCAGTGTGTCCTGGGTCTTCCCCGGGGCCTCCTTCCGGTGGGACATGTCTGGAACACTTCCCGAGGGAGGCGTCCAGGAGGCATCTGGTACAGATGCTCAAGCCACCTCAGCTGCTCCTCTTGAGGTGAAGGAGCAGTGGCTCTACTCTGAGCTCCCCTCGTGTGACTGAGCTCTTTACGCTATCTTTAAGGGAGCGCCCAGCCACCCTAAGGAGGAAACTCATTTTGACCGTTTGTATCAGCGATCTTGTTCTTTCAGTCATTACCCAAATCTCATGACCATAGGCTGATTTACTGGTGAATCTACCTTCCTATCCTCACCTATGAGCTCACAAGAGTCAATTGTGCGTAATATAGAACCATCAAACTTTTTTTAAACATGTGTTTTGTCACCTTCACATGTGGAAACACACTTTATAGACTACACCTCTACCAATGAGGTATTTAAAGGTGCATTGTGTCACTTTTCTGGTGGAGGGTCCATCAAAAGTTTTTCTCCATGGAGATGTTATTGCACCTTTCTATCTTCATGGAGACCAAACCAGACCCAGTTACAGGTCAGATCTGTGGAGAGGCGACCCCACTCAGTTTTTTTTTAGGTATTTTTAAGCTATAAAACCACCTGTAATTGAATAAATGTAAGGTCATACTGAGGAACATTCCAGGCAGCGCTATGACATATCTATAGAAACAAGCAGGTGACGGACCCCACCCAAAAAATTACATAGTGCACCTTTAAGCACTGGAGCTCCCTCTGCCCATGGCATATCATGTGTGAATGTAGCCGAACAAAACATGTCCTCTCCCTGTTAACTCTGTGTTACCTGAGTAGGTCTCTCCAGTAGCAGGCACCAGTCCATAGTCTTTTCCTGCAGTGTAGACGTGCCCTCCGTCCAGTGTGATGGCATCTGCCTCTTTATTCTGCAAGTACAGACACAACGTGAATACTCTGGTATGGTATCGTCACAATACTAACATTTCTAATTTGATTTCGATACTAAGTAATAGACTCGATACTAAGTACTGACTCTGATACCATGATGACAATAAACTTTCTTTAGACAATAGAATGTGATTTTCAACATTAAATCATAGTGCTTTCTTTTATTCCCATGTGGTCTTATCCCTCAGTAGGTTCCATAGTCCTGGTAGGTCCATGGGTGTATACTAGTCTATGTGCTCTTATACTTATTCTGGTACAGCTCAACATCATCATCTTTTAGAAACGATAGCGCCATAAGTAACGATAGTGTTGTATGAATGTGAATCATCTCGCACTCCGTGGATCTTAGGGACTGGCCTCCTGCTGTAGTCCTGGTTTAGAGAGTCCAGAGTCAGGACTAAACACGGGCAGTCAGTGTTTCAGTTTCATGAAGCTAAAACCTGGAACTGTCTTCTTGAAGATGTGAGACAGACCTCTACTTGGATGCTATTTAAATCCTGGTTCAAAACAGTTCTGTTTCAGTGCATATGACTGAAAGGTTTTCATTTTTCATTCTGCAGTCTTCTCTCTAATTTAATATCTCTTTCTCTTTTTAATTTTATGATGATTATTTATGTTTTGATTTGTTTTTATTGTGACTTTAATGTACTTCTTATTCTATAAAGAACTTTGAATTACTTTTTGTACGAAATTGTGCTATATAAATAATCTTGCCTTGCCTAAGTATCTGATTTACAACCCTAGTCTTATTTACTTTTCTGATATTGGTGTAGTGTTATGTAAAATATAAAAATAGATGACAGTCGCAGTAGTTCTGTTGTCTGGAATCCAGACTGATCCTTGCATTGAACCTCATTGTTATTGATGATATTGAACAAAATGACATCTGATCACGGTCACATTTTTATACAGAACTTTTCCACCTTTGAGGCTTTTTACAACAAGGAACCACTCACACATTCACACACACACACTCATACTCCAGTGTATGCAGACACTGTGGGCGAGGTGGGTTAAGTGTCTTGACACAACAACAGTATTCATCTGTGGGAGCTGGAATCACACCGCCAACCTGTGAGTCAATGGATCTGACCACTCAACCAATAGTGTTTTTATGTCAAGAGCAAAATTCAAACCAAACTTCAGATCAGTGGACAAACGCTCTACCAACTGAACTACTGCCATCCCACATCATCAGGCTTACAATGTTTTTATTTCTTATTTTCCTTGTAAGCAGCCAAATTTGTGTATTCTGGATCCCAGGCAAGGAGGGTGTTGAAATACAGGGGCATATGTCTTAGCTAAACAGTCACCTAGTTGTTTTTGTTGTTCCAACTTGTGATGTCATTAAGTGGTAATACAGGAATTGCTCCACTGTGATTTTAAACTCCATACACTTTCAGTAGAATCATATGGATAATTTCAGCCTTGGAATTGCTACTCTCTAGTGAACTAAACGTAAAAGGAGCTGTTAACTTGAAAACTTGATGATCACAAGGTGGAACGCAGCATTTTGAGCTTTGGGGATGTAGACATAGCCAGGCTTGCACCACCTAGTGTCTCCACTCAATTTAATTTCTCTCCAGCGACTAGGTCATGAATCAGAATACACTAGACGGCAAGAACCCCGGAAGTGCGAGTTGGGGCACCAGCCAATCAGTAAAGAGCCATACATTCTGTGTTGGCAATGATTCCCGAGATCGAGAATTTAAAGCCGGAACAAAGAGAATGTTTAGTGAAATTTATGAAGGGGATAAATTTATTGTCCTTCTTCCTACAGGAGTTAGGAAAAGCTTAATATACCAGTTAACCCCGTTAACGGCACATTTCATACGTCATGAGCAGTGATTGGTTAAATAAAAAAAGTTACCCGCCTACTGTCGAGCGAACGAATCCTAATGCTGCGAGGTCAGACGGTTTTTACGAAGTGAAATCGGCTGATGAATCAGGCTAACGTAGACAGTAATAATACAGGATTACTCTAACATGTGTGAATAAAACACAACTCCAGGTACGTTTTTGAGGAAGTAACATTATAACATGGCTTTAAACCTCACAAGAGTCAATTTCATAGGACCTTTAATGTGAAATACAGGCGGCTGACCTTGATCTTGTTCATGCAGTCGTCGAGTGAGTTTCCATGTAAACAGGTGAGACGAGGGGTCAGTTTTTTCCCGATGAAAGCCGCTCCCATATCCGCACACTTCTGCTGCTCGGAGCCGGAAAGCACACACCACCTCAGCTGGTCTGGAATATACGGGAAATGATGTTATCTCATTTCAAACTCAATTTTCTTTTATTCTTGTATTGTGGACAAACTTTGGGCCCCCCTTGCAGTTCCACTAAGGACCAAGCATGTTTGAGTAATTTAATGATCTCTCCCTAAATTTCGGATCCCAAACTCTCCTTACAGTTTGCAGTAGAATCCTATTGAAACACTCATGTTCTCCACAAATAAATAAAAGCACAATATAAAACTGAATACAGCAACTTGACAACCCTGATGTGATGTGCAGTAGTTTCATTCGCGGGATACACGGTTATTGTGTTGTGATAGCGTTCTGAAGGAGGAGTGACAAAAGAGAAACTTATAAAATATGTTAAAGCTATAATAAAATAAAATGATGATCTAAACATGTTGTGTGTTACAGTTAAAAAATACCCCCTCTTTACTTATAAAACTTGAAATAAAACTGTATGTCTATGTTATATGTTATCAGGTTCTTTTTTCAGACCAAGAGTTTGTTTTCATACCTGACAGTTTGGACTGCCTCCTAGCGTTCTTCCTCAGAGTGGTCACGTGATGTTGCTGTGCCGTGTCCGGTCAACTGATTTAAACAGGTTTTGGCACTGTCTACCTACCGGGGGAGGTAAGAAAACAGCGCCATCTGCAGTCCCACTTCCTCTGGACAGTATCCCAGGTGTGTGAGAGTAAAAAAGCCCCCACATCCCGGTTCATAGTCCCGTGGGCTGTTTCCGTATTTCAGTTGTCCTCTTTAATCCATCAACAATGTTTATTTTCCTCCCAGTCCCAGTCCATAATGTGCTTCTCACAGTGGACAGAAATGGCCGATTTGAGTTCCTGTTCTGCTTTCTGTTTTGTTGCTTGTGTTTCACCTTCGCTGTTTCCTTCTCGTATTCTGTCCTATGTTCCTTTTGTTGTGTTTTGAACGCTGTCCCTGTTTCCATGATGTGTGTTTTATTGCAGAACATGCAGGGTATTTCATATATGACGTTACATTTGTGCTCCGGTTCTATTTTATCTTTTGGATGGATGAGTAGAATGCCTGAGTTTTCTGTACAGGTTCACTGGTGTGTTGATATTGTTTGCCAAATTTGGACACGTAACAGCAGCATCACGTGACCACTCTGAGGAAGCCCGCTAGTAAGCAGTCCAATCTGTCTGGTATGAAAACAAACTCTTGGTTTGAAAAAAGAACCTACCAACATAAACTATCGGAAGACCGAATGAACCTCATTGGACTATGTATGTCACTCTTAATATTAGATACGTAATATTTTCTCAATACAAACGTGTAAACAAAGTGTGTGTATAGACGTGGATAACTCACCGGGGGAAGAGCAGTCCATGGCCTTCATGGCGTTGTAGTACGAGAGTCCCATCCAGGCCACAGGCACTTCAGTCTGAGCAGGGAGCAGGTCTGTGGTCTGGTCAGAAAACAGCACAGTCCCTCCTCCGTATGCAGATGAGGAGAACAAGTCAAAACCAGACTTCTCCTAAACAGAAAATCAGGAATTATAGTCACATTCTCAAAGTTTTAAAGGGACAGTCCAGAATTTTGGACATAGGTCCTCATTTCCTAGTGAGCCAGAGTGTTGGAAATGTGTGGAGACACTTTTTGAAATATTCCATCCAGTCCTTGTATTTGCAGAGGTCACTGGTGCTAGGCTAGTGCATGTCAATGGCCATAGTTATCCTGCCACTAAAAACAGTCTTACCCACTCCACAAAACACCCGAAGCACATCTGTTATTACAACAAACTGTCGATGTAAATGTCTGTGTTGATAGAATAATGTTTGAAGTAAAACTAACCCTGCATTGCATGAATTATCGCATGTTGAGGCACTATTTTCTCATATATCAGTCCGCCGTTGCCAAGCTTTCTATTAGGATGTACAACTCGCTGCTGCTGCTCAGACAGAAATCCTTCAAATGCAAGGATGGTTTTACTTCTAAAATTATTCTCTTGACACAGACATTCACATGGACAGTCTGGTGTATTAATAGATTTGTTTTGGGTGTTTTGTGGAGTGGGTAAGACTGTTTTTAGTGGCAGGATAACTATGGCCATTGACATGCACTAGTCTAGCACCAGCGACCTCTGTAAATACAAGGACTGGATGGAATATTTTAAAAGTGTCTCCACACGTCTCCAACACTCTGGCTCACTAGGAAATGAGGCCCTATGTCCAAAATTCCAAACTGTCCCTTTAAAAGAATGTACTAAGAACAGTGTTGGGAAGGTGACTTTTAAAATGTATTCCCCTACAGATTACAGATTACATACCCCAAAATGTAATTTGTAACGGAACCCTTTAAGTTATTTTAGGTGAGCAACGTAATCTGAATACTTTGGATTACTTGGTTTGCTCTAGAGTAGCAAATACTAGGAAATCTTCACATAAGATGTTTTGTCTGGTAAAAGCAATAAAAAAGCCCAGACTTTACTTAACCAAATTAAAAATATTATCGATAGAAGAGGAGGAAACACAGTCCATGCAGCATGATTTAGTCCTGTTAAATTAAAATTAAATCCTGTTTTAGACCTGGTTTAGACCTGGTTCTAGTCCTGTTTTATACCTGGTTTAGTCCTGGTTTAGATCTGGTTTAGACCTGATTTAGACCTGGTTTAGCCCTGGTTTAGACCTGGTTTAGTCCTGGTTGAGATCTGGTTTAGACCTGGTTTAGATCTGGTTTAGACCTGGTTAAGTCCTGGTTTAGACCTAGTTTAGTCCTGGTTTAGATATGGTTTAGACCTGGTTTAGACCTGGTTTAGTCCTGGTTTAGATCTGGTTTAGACCTGGTTTAGATCTGGTTTAGACCTGGTTTAGATCTGGTTTAAACCTGGTTTAGACCTGGGTTTAGACCTGGTTTAGACCTGGTTTAGACCTGGTTTAGTGCAATGAGTGGAATTACCGAAAAAAAAAAAAAAAAAAAAAAGGGATATAGCCTGAAATGTGAAAACAGGAAAATATCACCGTGTAATCCATTTATTCAACAAAGTAACTGTAATCCAATTACCACTCACTGAAACAGTAACTGTAACTGAATGCAGATACTCATAATTTGTACTCTGATTACGTAACTCCGGTACATGTAATCTGTTACTCCCCAACACTGAAGAAGAGGTGTAAAATGTAGTATTAGAAAGTAGGTCTGGGCTGTTTGTAATCATCACTGATATAAGGGGAAAAAAATGATAATGATGGTATTTTTTTATTTTATTTTATTATTATTTTTTTTGCTATATTGCCCTGTGTCCTACAGTCTAGCCCAGGATATGTGAACGTACCAGCCCCTCACGGAGCATGTTGTAGACCATAGAGGGGTCGAGATCATCACGGACCACCACACCTCTGAAGGGAACCCGGACCAGGTGACAGCTCTTCCACTCGGACACAAGAGCTCTGCGACCATCCGGGCACAGCAGCTGATAATCTGAAGACTTCAGCCCTGCCGCCCACTCTGGACCTTTGTCTGGAGAACCGCAGGATCAGCTTTAGGAATATACTCAATGTTTAAAGGGCCCATATTACACTATTTTCTGATCTGTGTTATAATGTGGTTTCCTCAGCATAAACAGACCTGGAGTTGTGTTTTGGGTTTGCGTTTTTCTCTCAAACAGAAAATACTATGTTCCATCTTGTGATGTCATGTGGTAATACAGGAGGTACTTCACTGTGTTTTTAAACTCCACACACCTTCACTAGGATCATTTGGATAAATACAGCCCTGAACAAAAGGTAAAAGGTAGATGTAACTTGAAAACTGCCACTTGATGACATCACAAGGTAGACCAGAGCATTTTGAGCTTTGGAGATGTAGACAGACTAATAAAGGCTTACTCAAACATGTGTGAATAGGGTTGCCAACCGTCCCTTGAAAAACAGAATCGTCCCTTATTCAGAAACAAAAGCGCACGTTCCATATTGAGTCCCATGTAGTATTACTGTGAGAATCAAAAATAGTGTGTAGTCACTGGAAAGACTCTTTTTAAGAAAATTTACAGTAAACATATTCTCAGCCTCTCCTGCTTTGTGACCAATGAGCTGACAGTGCACGGACATCCTGCTCATGATCTCATTGGTCGAGGCTGCTTAGCCCGGAGCTCCGTCCCGACCGTGGGCTCCGAGCCTTGGCTCCGAGCTCCGGCTCAGCTGCGGGGTCCGAGCTCAGGTTCTCGGGTCTTTCTCCTTCTTCTTCTTTCAGATGCCTCCAAGGTGTCCAAATAGATGCATCCAGTGCGTTTTGTAAAGCTACGGTCTCGCTTATTTATGCTATCACAAGAGTATGGCCTGGAAGATACAACTGTCCGTGCCTGCAGGGGGAGTCACTGATTTACCCAGATATCATTGGAAGAAACATTTTGATTATATTAACCCTTTGTTTCCCAAGAAATATTAGTCCAAGTTTACAACAATGATCTAGAAATTATTACTAGTGTTGTGTTTATTACTCACTGTATAAAAAATATTGAAAAAATATATTAGAAGTACAAAAATGTATTCAGTATTTTTCTTGGGCCTTCACTGAATACCTTGAAGGCTCTGAGGGTTCACCTCTGTAACAAAGCAGCATGGACGACAGTGGCGCCGATCCTTTCAATATGAGCTACCAGCAGCCTAATGTAGGTATTCTGCTGCAAATCTAACACGCACATGCTTACATGCTTAACTGGTCAAAACATACAATAAAACCAATACACTTGTAAATGTGACTTGTTACTCCACTTCTGCAGCTCAAATCAACAGCATTTCAACTGGAACTCTGTAGCTCAAATCAACTGGACACCAGCCCTGCCACTGAAGTGTCCCTTATATATTTTTCAGGGAGTTGGCAACCCTTTGTGTGAATGAAACAAAACACAACTCAAGGTATGGTAACAACAATTCTAACATGACTTAAAGCTCACAAGAGTCACATTTTTGTAATATAGAACCTTTAAAGGTACGTTATGTAAATTAAAATTAAAATTAAATCTTACTGTCTGTGTTGTCCGTAACTGTAGTATGTGTAACAAAAGCTACTTCTCCTGCATCCTCCACCAGACACCTGCACAAAACCAGAGAAGCAAAATCCTGTGAGTCCCCTGAACGCACCGCTAACATACATAGACATTTATGTAATTACACCTTATTTGACATCACCCGCTACTTATTTAGAATGTATTATTACCAGTTCTCTTTTGTTATTATAATATATTTTGATGTGTGAGCTACTTTGTCCAAGTTATTTCTCTTGTGGATCAATAAAGTTTGTCTAACCCTGAATTTACACCAGGAGCATCAACATAGGCAGAGCTGCAAACGCACGTACTTTTAAAAGCTTCAATTTACACCAGAGACACAGAGCAGCTCCTGTGACTTCAGCCTCTGTGGATTCTCACTTTTAAACACGTTTTGCATTGCTTACGTATTCATTGTTGTTTGGATAAATTATGTTTTAAATCACAAAACAAAAGTTGGCAACAAGAGAGACGATGCTTTGCACCGATAACGAGCCATATCTGCGGTGCTGTGTTAATGAAGCTACTCACTGTTTCACTTTGGTTTTCACGTTGTTCTTGTAAAGTTTTTGTCTGATATCGTAAAGTGTTTTATCTTTATCCTTCGCGGCTGTAAACTTTCTGTAGTCCATCACGAGTCATTCACTGAGCTCCTGATGCGACGCGTGGTGTTTACGGGACTGTAGTGGTTTTAGAGAACCTATTTTGAAAGGGCAACAGAAGTTCATTTTGACACCACATGCTTATTCCTGTCTTTCCCTTGCTGGTGTAAATTGTCAGACAGGTTAAAATGGAAAGCGATACCTGCGCGTATGCTCCTTGAATATGGCAAGCCAAACTGTTCACATTTACGCCTATTTTGAAAGCATTAACACCTTATTTTGACACGTATTATAAGCTTATCTGAGTTCTTATTTGATGTGTTATGGATGTGATAATGAACTCCTCACACTGGTTTTCCTAGTCCGTGAAAAGAGTCCAGAACAATCCAACACCGACCTCCTAATACACATTCTTTACTCTAATGAGGACCCCCTTGAAAATGAGATGGTGACACATCTCAAGGGGCTTATCCTCCAAACAAATAAATTCAAATTCAAATTAATGTCCCTTTTACTGGTGGTGCTCCCTCGGCAGACCACAGCCAAGTACAGGGTGCTGGCCACAGACTGGGAGAAGATCAAACTAGAAGTTGCACTCATGATTTTACAAAGGCATCCTTTGGTAATGATTGTTATCAGTGGTTTGTGGAAAGGACCATATCTGTGCTGTCTCACTGCACTGCATTCTATTGAGAGTTTCATTGTTCCACTACAGCAGTTAGGCTGATCTGTGATGGCCTATCCACAGCACCAGAGAGAACTCCAGCAGTGAACATGTGATACAGTAATGTGGCCTTCAATGAAAATCCTTAAAAAAATGCTAATATGCTCAATTGTGACATCCTTTAAATAAACAGGTTTATTAAAATCTAATAGCTCAACATGTAAAAGAATCACTGTCCATTCCTCGTCTTGCATAGGGAGATAAGTGTTGGACTGTTCTGGACTCTTTGTCTTGGCCAGTGATTGGCTGAAAGCACTTTCAATTGATTGACTGGGAAAATCAGTGGGAGAAGATCATTATCATAATGTATATAAATTCGCCAAATAGACAATTTGTTAAAAATAGGCGTAAATGTGAACAGTTTGGCTTGCCATACTCTTACGCTGTGCTGCTGATCTTACGCATTGTTACGCTTTGGTGTAAATTGGGGGTTAGTCTAAATCTAACAGTGTGACAGCTGCAGTTCCGGAGCTGACCTGAAGGCGCCGCTGTAGCTGAAGTAGCGTTCTTGTTCACTCAGGTCACACTTGTACAGTCCATCAGCGTTTCCGCGGCACAGTGTGCACAGAGACTCAGGGTCACCCTGTGCATTGGCTCCAGGGACACAACTGGCACTGAAGAAGTCCGACAAACCTGGAACATTCACAGAAGCGGGTATAAGATTAGATAATATCAGATATAATTACAATCATAAAAGGTGCACTATGTAACTTTTTGGTTGGATATTTGTTGCCTGCTTGATTCTATGGACATGTCATTGCTCTGCCTGAATGTTCCACAGTAGCTCTACTTTACATTTATTCAATTACAGTTTTTTATAGCTCAAAAAACAGAACAGACACTTCTTTTGCCTCTCCACAGATCTGACCCAAATGTGTTTAAATCCATTTTATATTTTTCAGACAGTCTAAAAGATTATCAGGCTGTGTTGTCCAATGTAGTGCACTGTCATCATGGTAACTGTGATCATTTTGTCATAGACATACATGCAGAACCCCCCCAGAGTATCAGTTGTGCATTTGTGTTTGAGTGCTCACCATTTGCGAAGTTGCAGCCCATGACAGACATGCGCCCTGTGTCTGTGAGGAAGCCCAGGGGCATGGTCCAACCGGCGGTCCGACCCTTCCCCGTGTGACAGCTCTTCTTCCCCTTCAGCGAGTTCACTGTCAGCCCCGGGTTAGAGCGCTTCACCACAGCTACTGCGTAATACACCGCACCGGTACCTGAACGCATCACAGTAAACTTTTACAATCGTGTTACAGCCCCAGGCCTTAAATTGTAATTTTGTTTTGTGTATTTCAAATTATTTTGGTAGAAAATGTTGCTTGATTGCTGCTGTGGGAGCCCTGGCTCGTGATTGGTGGGGCATGTCTACGCCCACCTCACCTGCAGCCACCGCCCCCCGTTTAAGAAGATTGGCTGCACCGGGCTGTTGGCCTTGGTGGCCAGTCTGCCATTTTGTGTTTGTGTGTGTAGTTTTGTAGTTTAGTTCTGTTTTGTGCCTTCTTTTATTTGGTCACTCGATTCTGTTTATGGGCTTATGTGGTTTAATTTGGGGAACTTGTGTTTTAGTTTTGTGCGTCCCTTAGTTTTACCACTCGTTTTGTGTATGCCTGTGTGACCCGTTTTGTGGCACAAAACTCATTGTTGTTTTTTTTCTTAGTTTAGAGTATGTTCTGTATATTTTAGTCTGTTTTGTTAATTCACCTTTACATTCCTGTTAATTAAACATTACTTCATTTATTCCATTTTTACACTATGGTTATTTTTGTTACTTCCCTGAACCCATTGAGCTGGGTCGTAACAATTGTGAGTTGTAGGTGTCAGAGTGAGACCAGGACAGTGATCCAATCAAAGACAAGCTGTAACTGATCAGGTCTGTCTGATATTTTGGGGTCTTAGTGCAGAGTGAGACCTCCTCTTGCTGCGTCTGCAATCAGTCTTTATGACCAACAGTAAACACAAGCCTCCTCAGAAGAGCTCCACTGTGAACACGACCACCTCTCACTGATTCCCTTTTATTTACACTTTTCACTTTTTCAAATGCAAAAACACCACTGGCATGTGGTGCTGGCCTCAGCTAACCTGTGGAACTACAGAGACATTACTACATGGAGCTGGAGCCTGGTATTCTGTCAGACAAACTTTTTCTGAAGCCACGTGGTGTGTACCATTATTGAATTATGATTATTCTTCATTCTTCATGTTGTGTGATGCCCAAAAAAATGTTATAAGACAAATGAGATTGTGCAGTGGTGTACACAGACATCGGAGCTCAGGAGGGTTAAGTGTCTTGCCTAAGAACACAACAACAGTTCAACAACATTCTTCTGTGTGATCATGGAATTTCACTGTCAACCAATGGGCCAAGGGATCTGACCAGTCTATCAACAATGTTTATACAGGGAGCAGGATTCAAACTTCCAACCTTTGGATTAAAGCACATGAGCAGATGAGCTGCTGCTGTGAACATGAGCCTCACCATCTTGTTTGGTCTCACTGGCAGCCATCTTGAAGGAGGCGATCTTTCCCAGTCTGTAGATGTCCGCTGCGTCCATGGACAGGGCATCCACCTGTTTACTCTGTTCACAAACAACATTCACTCAGAAATATAGTACATGATCAATAATGAAAAACAAGAAAAGGTACTAGATTATTTTCCTGAGCATAAACAACAACATTTCAACCTCAAAGTTCAATTTCTTCCTCCAAACCCTGAACGTTGCTCCAGTCCACATGCTTTCACTGACAGGATTGAGTGTAGCTCGCTCCATCAAAAACTCCAAGATGATCATGGACTATAAGCAGTTACTCCATCTTTATCTCATTAAAATCCCATTAAGTGCAGTCCTATATGAACTTTAGTGAGCAGTGGGTAACCTCAGTTTCAGTTCACTGGTAGCCATAAACCCACTTTACCCAGAATGCTCTGTGATAACATGTGCAGACTTGTGTGTGTCTTATCTGAAGGCTGTGTCTGCTGACCCCAATGCTAAGGACTATTTCTGCTTTGTAAAAGATAGGATTACCTGGAAATTACGCAGACCTGTACTGACTAAGCAAGTGCAAATCAGTCCATGCCTCACCTTCCTCTTCTCCTGACACACTCAGCCCTTCAGTTCCTTATATATTATATAGGGAGGCACTGTCAGGCAAACAGAGGTGCCCACACTTTTTCAGTACGCGAGCTACTTATAAAATGTCCAAGTCAAAAATGATCAACCGACTACAAAGTCAAGTAAACTGTACTGGACTTAAGAGAACATTCAATAGCACTTAACAGAAAACTGAAAAAAGTGAAGACAGTGATTAGGATTTTTAAACCTGTTTTTTCAAGTTCCTAACTGGAGTTACATGGTTAGTACGAGTTTTACAGTGGGATTTAGCCTCTGCACATTTACCAAACCAAACCCAGATGTATTTGTGCACGTTTATTAGGCAAACTTTAGCCACATGTCGCGGTAGGTCTGCTCTGTGCTGTTGGCTCCTCTGTGCCAACACTCTAACATACATTTAGATCAGTTTTTGCTACGCGTTTTGTCTTGTCCTTCTAATCTGTGCGCATTGTGGCAGGAGCCTGTGCGCTTTACCCGGGAAAGAGCGAGAGCGTGAAAAGGCGAGGAGCGGTGCGCTGACGTGAGCAGATGGACAGGTAGGATGTTTTAAAAAAGTTTAACCTGCCCTGTGATACACGCTGGTACACGAGGACTAACGCTGTTGCGGACAAGCCGCGCGCAGGGAGCGTGTGTGATTGTGATGTGCCACACAGTATCCGCGGGTTCCAAATGGCGCACAGGCTATAGTGAGACGCTCCGCACGCTCCCGCACCCCGGTACAAGTTTATTGCCAACAGCAGCGGCCATAATATGATCGCAGTTGTTGAGTGTTAGACCTCGAGTGAGAGACAAGACCAAGTCCAAACGTGATAGAGTCCGAGACAAGACACGGCGATCTACCCACACGACCTTGGCGATCGACTGGTAGATCGCAATTGATGTATTGAGCACCCCTGATCTAATAGGCCAAATCCTGAAATATATAGATTTTTATATGTTGCTCTGCTGATCTCTATGAACGTGTTATTGCTTTGCCTGGAATGTTTCACAGTATGGCATTAAACTTAGGCCTATCTATCTCCATGGAAACGAGTAGTTGGCGCGACCAGGACAAGTTACAGGTCAAAAGCCCGTAAACAGCACCCATAAAGTAATATGGTATGACTATAATGCCATTCTGTGGAATATTTCCAAGGAATACGCAGAGAGAGAGGGTCCTTCATCTGTCAGCCGTGTTATAATGCAGTTACCGCCTCAAAAATGTACCTGGAGTTGTGTTTCTGTCTGGCTACATCTCTAAAGCTCAAAATGCTCTCTTGCACCTTGTGATGTCATGAAGCTCAAGTTTCGGCAATACACAGCCTGAAAGAATCTAAATGATTCTAGTGAAAGTTTTTTGAGATTATGCACACGGTGGAGCACTTCTTGTATCACCACATGATATCAGAAGGTGTTTAACAGAAGAACTCAGCTTAAATATGTCAGGTTTGTGTGTTTAACATGTGAATGAAACAAAACAAAACTTTGGGTCTGGCTGTTTGCAGGTGTTCCAATCAGTGGGAGCAGGTAGAGCTCTTGGAAAAAGGATCAAAACTAAAACACAACAGGTCTCCAGGCACCCCAAAGAAGGAAAAATATAGTAAAAGGCCTGGTGATGGTGATGGTGGTGGTGATGATGGTGATGATACAAATAATAGTGATAATGATAAAAAATAATAATGGTGATAATAATAAAAATAATAATATTAGCACTGTTGCTACAACCTAATGTACAATCCTTCTCTCCTGTAAAAAAGGTTAATGTAAAAACTGTGCACTGTCCCTGTCTCAAATAAATAAATAATCATAATAATATCATAGTAGTTGTTGTTGCTGTTAATACAATAGTATTACAAATAATTATAAAAATGATAACTATAAAAATAATAATTTTATGATAACAATAATAATAGAAACTTTAATTGTAATGATGATAATAATGTTGTTGTTGTTGTCTGAATGCCTCTGTACATTTATAGATGGGTATTGTGTATATATATATATGTTTTTTGCCTGTGCCATGTCCTGTGCTGCTGATCTTGCACCTGTTTTGTCTGCCTCCAGTCAACTCCAGTCTACTCTTGGTTGGTGTGTTTTACTTAAAGTCCACGCCCATGCTCTGGGTTTTTAATTAAGACCTGATGAAGAGCAGTTAAGGTCGAAACATGTTGGCTTTGGCCATTTAAATATAGGCCTTTTACTCGATGCGATTTTTTCTTTTTCTTTTTTCTTTTTTTCTTATTTGGAGTGCCTATTGTGTTAAAACTTTGGGTCTGTTTGTGATGTGGAAACATTATAACATAAATCAAAGAAGAGCCTAGTATGGGCCCTTTAAACCTCATGTTCGTAAGGGTAAAGATACTTTCTCATCCTTTGTACTGTGTAAAGTGTGTGCGCAGTACCTGTAGTTTGCTCACGCAGACGTCCGTCTTTTGTCCGGAGACGCACTTGAGCGTGGGGCGGATGGACGCCTCGGAGAACTTCTGAGACATGGCGTTACATTTACTCTGCTCCTGCTCCGACACCGTGCACCAGGAGATGGTACTCTGACAGGTCACTGCAGCACAGACAGGGGGCGCACTTTACACCCATGACACTTATTACATTGATATGTTCTAATACGTTTTTAAACCGTTTTTACTCCAATTCCATTGCTTCTCTGATGAAAACAAAGAGCTCATTTTATGCAATTCAAATCAACCTTTTGAGCATTCAGCCATATTATATTTTCCATATATGGGTAGTCTTCTTGAATAGTGTCAGGGTGACCAGACGTCCCTATTTACCTGGGACAGTCCCAGTTTTGAACCCTATGTCCCTCTGTTTCAACAGATTTGTCCCAGTTTTATACAAGAAATGTCCCATGTGTCCCTGTTTTTGACCAGTTTGATCTAAACCAGGTCTAAACTATTGACTGACTGATTAATTTATTTGGGTCACAGGTACAGTATATTCTGACCTTATTCCACAGACAGTCATATTTAACATACACTGACCGAAAAGGTGTAGGCTGAAGTGTTTTGATAAATATGGCTGTACCTCTGAGCTATTTCGGATTTTGAACATATTCTGTAATGATTTTGACAAGAGATTTTCAAATGTAAAGGTCAAATAAATCATAACATTTCAGAGTTTGAAGGTTTATAAATAATGCATTGGTTAGTTCATTATAAATTGATAATGCGATTGCTCTTATTGCCTTTTTTTGCAAAGTAAAGATTGGATTTGTATTAGTCTTATATGTATATGTGTCTAAGCTTACTTTATAAAGGTCTAAACCAGGACTAAACTAAGATTAAACAAGGACTACATCAGATCTAAACCAGGACTAAACTAAGATTAAACCAAGACTAAACTAAGATTAAACCAGGACTACATCAAATCTAAACCAGGACTAAACTAAGATTAAACCAGGACTACATCAGATCTAAACCAGGATTTAACTAAGATTAAACCAGGACTAAACTAAGATTAAACCAGGACTACATCAGATCTAAACCAGGACTAAACTAATACTAAACCAGAACTACATCAGATCTAAACCAAGACTAAAACAGGACTATCACAATTTTTGACTAATCTGATCTCCACCAACAGTAAAGAGGAGCGTAAATTGTCATTTGTTTAGCCAAAATACAGAAAACCATGTTTGCAAATGACCATAAAGCAAAATAAATGCAGTGTAAGAAGTCACTCAGATTATGACTGACACGAGAATGTACAGTCTTACACGCTCTTTTCACAATTTTATTTATACCAACCATTCCAATCCAAGTGTGTCCCAGTTTTGAATTTAGAATATCTGATCACCCTTTACTTAACTTATAACTTTTTAAAGAAATTGTACTTCTTGTGGTACTTTTCAGACACCATACTCCTCCGTGAGTGATATATTTTACACTGTAATAATACTCTTACTCAAGTAAAAGTTGTGGTAACTCTACAAGTGAATAAACCTAGAAGTGACAAAAGTTTTATGTTGACAATGTGAAATGATTTGAACGTGTCATTTTTTTTTTGTCTATCTTTTAAAAACGCCAGATTTTGTTGGATTATTTTATGTGTTCTTCCAGTTACAATAGCTTTAAATTAAATAAAAGTAATGTCATATCTGTACAATTACTCTAACTTGAGTATAGTTTCCCTGGATACTTATACTTGAGTAATTTCTTGAACCACTACTTTGTACTTATACTTATTTTAAAGTAACAGTACTACTTGAGTGCAGTTTTTGGCTACTTTCATTCATTCATGCTCAGTTAGTCTGGCACAGTGTTTCTCTCCTGCTCTTAAATTATTTCACTTTATGATGTCATCAGGTGGTACATTCATTTGTTTTATTCTAATGCTCAAATGGCCGCCACTAAAAATAATAATACGAGTCTCAACTTCGAAACTAATTGTAATATTTCTCCGTCTATGAAAATCTAAATTAAAGTCCACCTTAAGAACCTCCCTCACACACTTCAGGTTAAATTCCACCTTAAGAGCCTCCTTTACAAACGTCAGATCAAAGTCCAGCTCATTAGACGCACAAATTGTTCAGGTAAGGTCGAGCCAAGGCCACTGGAGTCACTTACACAACTTTATTTTTCACAAAGTCTTTTAATAAAACACATTTCAGTTACACCATTTTAAATAAAGAAAGTCCTATTTAAATCTATGTTTACCAGTAATACTCATCTACAATAAATGTCTATTACTACTGAACTACTGTACTACTAACACTACTACTATTACTATGACTGATACAACAAAAACTAGTACTACTGCAATCACTACTGCAACAATTTGTTTTGTTTTTTTTCCTAGTGAATTTTATAATTTGCTCAAAGCTGGGTCCAGGCAGTGTTAAACCAAATGCAAAGTACTTTTTACTTTGAAGTCCGATTCGAAAATGTAGTGGAGTGGTAGAAAGTACAAAATACAGCTTTTCAAATGTAATGCAGTATAATGAATCCACTGAAAAAATGGTTAAATACCTAAAATTGTATTTGAGTACATTTCTTTTACTTTTCCTCCGCTCACAACTACTACTACTACTACTACTACTAGTACTACTACTACAACTACTATTCCCTATACTACTACTCTCATCATTCTATATTATTAATACTACTAACTAATACTATTACAACTATTTATTTACTACTGTTACAACTAGGCTACTGCTATGACAACATCTACTCCCTATACTACTATTCCCCTCTTTACCATTACTACTACTACTACTACTACTACTACTACTACTACTACTACTAAACGAGGCTACTAATACTACCACTACAATTCTACTCTATTCTTTTATTACTAATGCTGGGTCTTCCACTATTATGACAAGAACTACTTCTAATACCAAGTAATACCTAGGTTACTCAGGACAAAGAGCTAGTGCTGCTACTACTACTACCATAACTACTACTAGACTACAACATTCACTACTCCCTATACTATATTCCCAAGATTCCCGATTACTAATACAACTACTACTATTACAACTAGGCTACTACTACCACTACTACTACTACTATTACTACCACTACCTGTACTACTACTAGACTACAGTATCCACTACTCCCTATACTACGGCTCCTATCATTCCTTACTACTACTACTACTACTACTACTACTACTACTACTACTACTACTACTACTACTACCACTACTTCTAGACTATAGTACCCACTATTCTTATACCATTACTTCAGTTCAATCATTCCCCATTACTACTACTACTACTACTACTGCTATTACTAGTACTAACTAGATTACTACTACTACTACCAGTTGAACTACTAGACTATAGTATCCACCTCTTGTTATACTACTACTTAGATTCAATCATTCTCTACTACTACCACTACTACTACAATTACTACTACTACTACTACTACTATTAGTAGTAGTAGTAGTAGTACTACTACTAGATCCACTACACCATAGATTTCTGTCTATAAGTATTTTACATTAACCAATTACTGAGCGATTACAATTAAAACAGATTACTCACCATTTTGCAGTAGAAGTATTGGTAGTAGTAGTAACACAACTACCTTCTCCATTATAACCACAGCTGCTCGTCCCTGGTACTTCTTCACAAAAGTACCAGACGGGCCCAGAATGCAGTATCTCCGTGGTCTAAAGTCCTTATAAAGGGTTTTATGGCGCGGGAGCTGTAAAGGCAGAGTGCTGATGAGGGTATGAGAGGTAAGGGAAGCACAGAGGGCCCTTTCTCTCTGGTCTTTTCCACTCGCGGCACGCGGCCAAAACTCCACCCGGAATCACACGTTCAAGTTTCCAGGAATATAACTTGTCATGTTGTTTTGCAGAGTGACCTGGATGAAGTAAAGGGCCAATATTACACTATTTTCTACATCTGCTTGTATGTTGTAATGCTGATTTCTTATCACAAACAGACCTGGAGTTGTGTTTTGTTTCATTTATGCATTGTATAACTTTTCTAGTGGAGGGTCCATCAAATGCTTTTTTTTTTTTGTTTTGCTTTTTTTAATCAAACTGCTTTTATTCTTTTCAAATGATCAAATATATACATATACGAACAACTTGCAGGTAACAAACTCACAGATGTCACAGTTTTGCCGAGCCGAGATGGAAGAAAAAAAGTGCAAAAATAAAAAAATAAAGACAAAATTACAGGTCAGATCTGAGGAAAGACATCCCTATTCATAGAAGGAATTATTCTATTTTTGAGCAATAGAACGAACAAATGCCACACAGAGTGTGTTTACATGCACATCAGTATCCAGGTTATGATCAGGTTATATCCCAGTTTCTTCATGGTACATATATACACAGTATCTCGTTTTCAGTATCCCAAATAAGGTAGTATCCTGGTTATGAGAAACCAGGATACTGTAGCTGGTATATTCTGATAGTAAGCGGGATACTGTGGCATGTATAGACAGTATCCAGGTTACTGCAACATAAAGTTGAGTGCACATGTGTCCAAAAGACAAACACTTTCCAGTCTTTTCATCACAACAGTAAAGTGACCAACATAAATAAAGTGACAAACATAAATAAAATGAAATGATGATTGTAAAATAAAGAGGTGTGCATGTACAGTCTGCACTCGTACGACCTGCGCACATATGATCTCTGAAAAGTTAAACATCTCCTTTATGATATACGCACAGAACAGACTTACCATCATGAGCACCTCCTCTGTCACAAAAAGAACGCACATATTCCATTGAGTCGTGTCCATTTAGTCCAACAGAAGCTGAATCACATCAGTGCACAAGAAGCGAGCTGTTTTTTTCCAGCACTTATAGTTTATGCAAATGAGCCATGAGGTTTTAAGTCTTGTTTCTGTAAAATGTAAACAAATGTGGCAAAACTGCTATTATTATATATTTATCAAATGGGCTGATGTGGCTCTATAGTGGTTATGGTTTTATGTTTTAAAGTTGAGTTTATTTATGCAGAATATTTTAATGAAGAATCTGCTGCAGTGTTTGGTTTGATCTGTGCAGTGGATTGTGGGATACCTCAGAGCTCCTTACTACTGGTTAGAACCTCCTGAACTTCCTATGCTAAAGAAACTCATGGTTGTTTGTATTTTTCCTGCTTTATTATATTGAATATAGTTAAATTTTGAGCTTGTGCATTTATAAAATCATGTCAAGAAACCGGGATACTCCATTTGATCATGTACACAGGGGTATGAGTGTCTTGGTTTCTCAGCGTGCATGTAAACACGGTATTCTGAATACTCACAGAACCAAGATATGGCTAAGAACCAGGATACTGATGTGCATGTATACACACTCATAGATGTGTTTCATACCATGAAACATTCCAGGCAATGCTTAACATCTCCATGGAGACAAGCATATTGGTCTCATGGTTTGGGAGCATTTCTGCTAAAAACAAGAACTCCCTGAATCAGTCGGTTAAATGGGCGAGTTTGGTGACTGGCTTTCCTCAGAGCTGCTGGACTCTCTGTACTCGAGACACTTACAGAGGATGTCCCAGAGTATTTTAAAAGACGTGCAACATCCACTAAACTCAGAGTTTCAGTTGCTTCCCTCTGGTCAGAGACTTTTAGTCCCAAGATCTAGAACAAATCGTTTTAAAAGGAGCTTCGTTCCGGCTGCTATCGTACTTATGAATCAATTGTAATCTATTTATCTAAGATTGTGTGTTTTTAACATATTTAATAGTTATTGTGATTTTGGCCAAGCGTGATGGATGAATTTAACTAACTGCTTATGGAACAAACCATTCTGCACTGGAGCTCTGTCACACTCTGTTTTGTAACTGTGTTTTTATACGTGTTTTGTGGATAAATGAAATGTGAAATGTGGAACCTGCCTCTCAAATCTGCAAAGCAAATTTACCTACAGATACGAATA